CACAACGCCCCGGGGCGGGCCCACCACAAAGGGGGTCAGACGCACGTTTGTGCGCGTTTGGAGCCGAGACCCATCCTGGATGGCGCGTGGGGGTATGGCGTGCAGGATCGTGCGAAGAAATGCCGTGCGATTCGCGTTTTATACACCCGTGCGGACCGTTTCGCGTTTTCGAGCAGAAATGGCTCACAACATCCAGGGGCGGGCCCGCCACAAAGAGGGTCGGTCGCACGTTTGTGCGCGTTTGGAGCCAAGACCCATCCTGGATGGCGCGTGGGGGTATGGCGTGCAGGATCGTGCGAAGAAATGCCGTGCGATTCGCATTTTTCTACACCCGTGCGGACCGTTTCGCGTTTTCGAGCAGAAATGGCTCACAACGCCCCGGGGCGGGCATGCCACAAAGGGGGTCGGTCGAACGTTTGTGCGCATTTGGAGCCGAGACCCATCTTACATGGCGCATGGGGATATGGCGTGCATGATCGTGCGAAGAAATGCCGTGCGATTCGCATTTTTCTACACCCGTGCGGACCGTTTCGCGTTTTCGAGCAGAAATGGCTCACAACGCCCCGGGGCGGGCCTGCCTCTAAGGGGGTCGGTCGCACGTTTGTGCGCGTTTGGAGCCGAGACCCATCCTGGATGGCGCGTGGGGGTATGGCGTGCAGGATCGTGCGAAGAAATGTTGTGTGATTCGCATTTTTCCACACCCGTGCGGACCGTTTCGCGTTTTCGAGCAGAAATGGCTCACAACGCCCCGGGGCGGGCCCACCACAAAGGGGGTCGGTCGCACATTTGTGCGCGTTTGGAGCCGAGACCCATCCTGGATGGCGCGTGGGGGTATGGCGTGAAGGATAGTGCGAAAATATGCTGTGCGATTCGCATTTTTCTACACCCGTGCGGACCGTTTCGCGTTTTCGAGCAGAAATGGCTCACAACGTCCAAGGGCTGGCCAGCCACAAAGAGGGTCGGTCGCACGTTTGTGCGCGTTTGGAGCCGAGACCCATATTGGATGGCGCATAGGGGGTATGGCGCGCAGGATCGTGCGAAGAAATGCCGTGCGATTCGCATTTTTCTACACCCGTGCGGACCGTTTCGCGTTTTCGAGCAGAAATGGCTCACAACACCACGGGGCGGGCCTGCCTCTAAGGGGGTCGATTGCACGTTTGTGCGCGTTTGGAGCGAGACCCATCTTGGATGGAGCGAGGGGGAACGGCGTGCAGGATCGTGCGAAGAAATGCCGTGCGATTCGCATTTTTCTACACCCGTGCGGACCGTTTCGCGTTTTCGAGCAGAAATGGCTCACAACGCCCCGGGGCGGGCCCGCCACAAAGGGGGTCAGTCGCACGTTTGTGCGCGTTTGGAGCCGAGACCCATCCTGGATGGCGCGTGGGGGTATGGCGCGCAGGATCGTGCGAAGAAATGCCATGCAATTCGCATTTTCTACACCCGTGCGGACCGTTTCGCGTTTTCGAGCAGAAATGGCTCACAACGCCCCGGGGCGGGCCCACCACAAAGGGGGTCAGACGCACGTTTGTGCGCGTTTGGAGCCGAGACCCATCCTGGATGGCGCGTGGGGGTATGGCGTGCAGGATCGTGCGAAGAAATGCCGTGCGATTCGCGTTTTTATACACCCGTGCGGACCGTTTCGCGTTTTCGAGCAGAAATGGCTCACAACATCCAGGGGCGGGCCCGCCACAAAGAGGGTCGGTCGCACGTTTGTGAGCGTTTGGAGCCAAGACCCATCCTGGATGGCGCGTGGGGGTATGGCGCGCAGGATCCTGCGAAGAAATGCTGTACGATTCGCATTTTTATACACCCGTGCGGACCGTTTCGCGTTTTCGAGCAGAAATGGCTCACAACGCCCCGGGGCGGGCCCACCACAAAGGGGGTCAGACGCACGTTTGTGCGCGTTTGGAGCCGAGACCCATCCTGGATGGCGCGTGGGGGTATGGCGTGCAGGATCGTGCAATGAAATGCCGTGCGATTCGCATTTTTCTACACCCGTGCGGACCGTTTCGCGTTTTCGAGCAGAAATGGCTCACAACACCACGGGGCGGGCCTGCCTCTAAGGGGGTCGATTGCACGTTTGTGCACGTTTGGAGCGAGACCCATCTTGGATGGAGCGAGGGGGAACGTCGTGCAAGATCGTGCGAAGAAATGCCGTGCGATTCGCACTTTTCTACACCCGTGCGGACCGTTTCGCGTTTTCGAGCAGAAATGGCTCACAACGCCCCGGGGCGGGCCCGCCACAAAGGGGGTCAGTCGCACGTTTGTGCGCGTTTGGAGCCGAGACCCATCCTGGATGGCGCGTGGGGGTATGGCGCGCAGGATCGTGCGAAGAAATGCCGTGCGATTCGCATTTTTCTACACCCGTGCGGACCGTTTCGCGTTTTCGAGCAGAAATGGCTCACAACGCCCCGGGGCGGGCCCGCCACAAAGGGGGTCAGTCGCACGTTTGTGCGCGTTTGGAGCCGAGACCCATCCTGGATGGCGCGTGGGGGTATGGCGCGCAGGATCGTGCGAAGAAATGCCGTGCGATTCGCATTTTTCTACACCCGTGCGGACCGTTTCGCGTTTTCGAGCAGAAATGGCTCACAACGCCCCGGGGCGGGCCCACCACAAAGGGGGTCAGACGCACGTTTGTGCGCGTTTGGAGCCGAGACCCATCCTGGATGGCGCGTGGGGGTATGGCGTGCAGGATCGTGCGAAGAAATGCCGTGCGATTCGCGTTTTTATACACCCGTGCGGACCGTTTCGCGTTTTCGAGCAGAAATGGCTCACAACATCCAGGGGCGGGCCCGCCACAAAGAGGGTCGGTCGCACGTTTGTGCGCGTTTGGAGCCAAGACCCATCCTGGATGGCGCGTGGGGGTATGGCGTGCAGGATCGTGCGAAGAAATGCCGTGCGATTCGCATTTTTCTACACCCGTGCGGACCGTTTCGCGTTTTCGAGCAGAAATGGCTCACAACGCCCCGGGGCGGGCCCGCCACAAAGGGGGTCGGTCGCACGTTTGGAGCCGAGACCGATCCTGGATGGCGCGTGGGGATATGGCGTGCAGGATTGTGCGAAGAAGTGCCGTGCGATTCGCATTTTTCTACACCCGTGCGGACCGTTTCGTGCTTTCGAGCAGAAATGGCTCACAACGCCCCGGGGCGGGCCTTTCTCTAAGGGGTTCGGGTGCACGTTTGTGCGCGTTTGGAGCCGAGACCCATCCTGGATGGCGCGTGGGGGTACGGCGTGCGGGATCGTGCGATGAAGTGCCGTGCGATTCGCATTTTTCTACACCCGTGCGGACCGTTTCGCGTTTTCGAGCAGAAATGGCTCACAACGCCCCGGGGCGGGCATGCCTCTAAGGGGGTCGGTCGCACGTTTGTGTGCATTTGGAGCCGAGACCCATCTTACATGGCGCATGGGGATATGGCGTGCAGGATCGTGCGAAGAAATGCCGTGCGATTCGCATTTTTCTACACCCGTGCGGACCGTTTCGCGTTTTCGAGCAGAAATGGCTCACAACGCCCCGGGGCGGGCCTGCCTCTAAGGGGGTCGGTCGCACGTTTGTGCGCGTTTGGAGCCGAGACCCATCCTGGATGGCGCGTGGGGGTATGGCGTGCAGGATCGTGCGAAGAAATGTTGTGTGATTCGCATTTTTCCACACCCGTGCGGACCGTTTCGCGTTTTCGAGCAGAAATGGCTCACAACGCCCCGGGGCGGGCCCGCCACAAAGGGGGTCGGTCGCACATTTGTGCGCGTTTGGAGCCGAGACCCATCCTGGATGGCGCGTGGGGGTATGGCGTGAAGGATAGTGCGAAAATATGCTGTGCGATTCGCATTTTTCTACACCCGTGCGGACCGTTTCGCGTTTTCGAGCAGAAATGGCTCACAACGCCCCGGGGCGGGCGTGTCTCTAAGGGGGTCGGTCGCACGTTTGTGCGCGTTTGGAGCCGAGACCCATCCTGGATGGCGCGTGGGGGTACGGCGTGCAGGATACTGTCATAGAAAACAGTAACAACATTTATTCATTTTCTGTGCTAGAATCATATATACCTCTTCAAAAGGGTTTTCATCCTAAACACCTTCCGAATGGTGTTTAGGGTTGATGCTCTATCGAGACAAGCCATCGAAAAGAATATACTCGTTGGGAAGGGCATCAACCCTAAATACCTTGTCGCCCGGTGTTTTGGGTTGATGACTCCCTCGAAAAATATGCCACCGGATAGGGTTTTATTTTTTTAATGCCCGAAATGCTAGCGTTTGACGGTTCGGCGGCCGTCAACCAAAGTAGGGTTATCGGCCCGTCAATTCTTTGACGAATGAAAGCAAAACTGCGTTGAAAGCTCATAACGCTGCGCTGTGAGCGAGTTCTGGGCAGTAACAGTGCGCCAGAAGCGCTGTAGCTGCGTGGGTAGCAAATAAGTTCAGTAACTGTGCGTGCTCAACTCAAAACCCTTTACTTCTCGTTCTAGATACATCCGCATGACCCCAGACACGTGCCTGAGATTCCTCTAAGAACCCGATAATCAGCAGATCGCGGTAGATCGCCGCACAGCGCCATGAGCATGCGCCCCGCGCGCTCCGGTGCCCACGTGCTGGCTCTCTTGCGCGCCGTGGGCAGGGCGTATTGGAACCACTCGCCGCTTCCCGCGTCGGCAGCCGCATCCCAGCGCCTCGTCCCAGACCATTCCGGTTCCGCCCCTCGCCGTCCACCCTCTCACCCTTTCGCCTCTCGCCCGTTTGTGACCTTTCATCCGCCCGCCCCTCCCCTGCTGCCCGCCTTACTCCGCCAACCCCCTACGCGCCACCTGTGTACTGAGGGGCCCGCGGGCGGCAAGGCGCGCGAGCAGACAGGGGGGGCAGAAGCAGCAGCGGCTGAAACTGAGGGGGGAATGACGCAGGGTGCGGGGCAGGAGGCGGAGGACAGAGGTGGGGGCGAGGGGAGTGCGCAGGAGGAGGCCTGGCGGCGGCAGGCGGAGGAGGCGCGGGAGCGGCTCCTGCGCGCGTACGCGGACATGGAGAACCTGCGCCAGCGTGCCCAGAGAGACGTCGATGCCGCCAGGCTCTTCGCTGTGCAGGTGCCAGCCGTGCAGGTGCCAGCCGTGCAGGTGCCATCCGTGCAGGTGCCACCCGTGCAGGTGCCATCCGTGCAGGTGCCATCCGTGCAGGTGCCATCCGTGCAGGTGCCATCCGTGCAGGTGCCATCCGTGCAGGTGCCATCCGTGCAGGTGCCATCCGTGCAGGTGCCATCCGTGCAGGTGCCAGCCGTGCAGGTGCCATCCGTGCAGGTGCCATCCGTGCAGGTGCCAGCCGTGCAGGAGCCATCCGTGCAGGTGCCATCCGTGCAGGTGCCATCCGTGCAGGTGCCATCCGTGCAGGTGCCATCCGTGCAGGTGCCACCCGTGCAGGTGCCATCCGTGCAGTGCTGTGTGCTGGCAGCACAGGCCGTGCAGCCTGCCTCGTGGTCGTCTTGAATGGGTCGCTCTCTCGCTCCCTCTTAGCCACGCCTCCCGCCTTGCCTCACTCTCATACGGCCTCTGCCTCCCCATGGCCTACTTCTTGTGCCACCCACTCTGCTGCCATGCCATGCCATGCCATGCGCTGCAGCGCTGTGCTCCCATCCATACACCTCCTAACAATGCCTTGCTTCCTCTCATACCCTCTGGGCTACGGACGGCATGAGCATGGGCATGGCATGGCATGGAATGGCATGGCATGGCATGGCATGGCATGGCATGGCATGGGCATGGCATGGGCATGGCATGGCATAGCATGGGCATGGCATGGGCATGGCATGGCATGGCATGGCATGGCATGGGCATGGCATGGCATGGCATGGCATGGCATGGGCATGGCGTGGCATGGCATGGCATGGCATGGCATGGCATGGCATGGCATGGCATGGGCATGGCATGGCATGGCATGGCATGGGCATGGCATGGCATGGCATGGCATGGGCATGGCGTGGCATGGCATGGCATGGCATGGCATGGCATGGCATGGCATGGCATGGCATGGCATGGCATGGCATGGCATGGCATGGCATGGCATGGCATGGCATGGGCATGGCATGGCATGGCATGGCATGGGCATGGCATGGCATGGCATGGCATGGCATGGCATGGCATGGGCATGGCATGGCATGGCATGGCATGGCATGGCATGGCATGGGCATGGCATGGCATGGCACGGGCGGCAGGGGTTTGCCAAGGGACTGGCGGACGTGGCGGACAATCTCTCTCGGGCCGCCGCCTCTGTCTCCCTGCCGCCGCACCCCGCCTCCCCCGACAGTGGACAGGGCAAGGGCGGGGAGGGCGCGGGGGGGCGCGACCCAGAGGCGCTGCTGAAGTCGCTGTTGGATGGAGTGGAGATGACGGAGAAGCAGCTGCTGCAGGTGCCACCCCACGCCCCTCCATGCACGCCACCCCTTGCAGCTTCCTCTGAAGCTGTGCGTTTGCCATGTACCTGTGTTGCTGTGTGCGTCCAAGTGTGTGCGCGCACTTGTAGTTGTGCGCACACTTGTAGTTGTGCGCACACTTGTAGTTGTGCGCACACTTGTAGTTGTGCGCACACTTGTAGTTGTGCGCACACTTGTAGTTGTGCGCACACTTGTAGTTGTGCGCACACTTGTAGTTGTGCGCACACTTGTAGTTGTGCGCACACTTGTAGTTGTGCGTGCATTCATATGTGTGAATGTTTGGCTGTGAATGCATGCATGTGTGCTGGTGCGTGCATGTGTGCTGGTGCGTGCATGTGTGCTGGTGCGTGCATGTGTGCTGGTGCGTGCATGTGTGCTGGTGCGTGCATGTGTGCTGGTGCGCGCATGTGTGCTGGTGCGCGCATGTGTGCTGGTGCGCGCATGTGTGGTGGTGCGTGCATGTGTGCTGGTGCGTGCATGTGTGCTGGTGCGTGCATGTGTGCTGGTGCGCGCATGTGTGCTGGTGCGCGCATGTGTGCTGGTGCGCGCATGTGTGGTGGTGCGTGCATGTGTGCTGGTGCGTGCATGTGTGCTGGTGCGTGCATGTGTGCTGGTGCGCGCATGTGTGCTGGTGCGCGCATGTGTGCTGGTGCGCGCATGTGTGGTGGTGCGTGCATGTGTGCTGGTGCGCGCATGTGTGGTGGTGCGTGCATGTGTGCTGCTGTGGTGGAGTGAGTGGGAGTGGCACGTGGCAGGTGTTTCGGCAGCATGGCATGGAGCGCCACGACCCCATGGGGCAGCGCTTTGACCCCAACCTGCACAACGCGGTGTTTGAGCTCCACGACCCCTCTAAGGAGCCCGGTACCATCGCCCACGTGCTCAAGGTACCATCACACCATCGCCCACGTGCTCAAGGTACCATCACACCATCGCCCACGTGCTCAAGGTACCATCACACCATCGCCCACGTGCTCAAGGTACCATCACACCATCGCCCACTTCAAGAGACCGCTTGTTCTTCCTGCTTACCTGCAATCGCGTCTTGCCTGCAATCGCTGCTTACCTGCAATCGCTGCTTACCTGCAATTGCTGCTTACCTGCAATCGCTGCTTGCCTGCAATCGCTGCTTACCGTGCCCCTGTGCCCCTGTATGTCTGGCAGGTGGGCTACACTCTTCACGGCCGTGTGGTGCGCCCAGCCGATGTGGGCGTGGTCAAGGGCACTCAAGCGTAGTCCTTACACGCGAGGCCTTGGTCAGTCATGCACTGTCATCCCTTGGCCCGCTGTCATCCCTTGGCCCGCTGTCATCCCTTGGCCCGCTGTCATCCCTTGGCCCGCCGTCAGTCATGCACTGTCATCCCTTGGCCCACTGCCCACATGGTCACTGCATGTGGTCACTCCGCTGCTGAGACTTGTACGAACCCTAAACCCTGCATGTTGGCAGGCGGGTGGATGTAGCTGAGGAGGAAGTGCAGTGTAATGCAACACGTGCTAATGAAGGCGTTAGCCGCTTACACTCATATGCAATTATGGAACGCAACCATGAATGAAGATCCATCTGCAATCACCATATCGAACATCTGCAATTACTTCATCAACGTGTTAAGGTGTACATGATACGCTCTGGACCCCTAACGATGCCATAATAAAGCAGCACGCACCAAGACCACAACCAGACGAGCAGCAAGCCTCTCTGTTCAATTCAATCCAAGCACGTGCGCGATGCTGTTCCGCCCACCACCACTCAACAGTTGCTCCCCCGCGTCCCGCCGCGCTGCACACCTCACTCTTGCGCGCGCATTCCCTCGCACTGACCCTGCACTTCCCACCCACGTCGTCCCTCTGCCCGCCTCACCTGTCGCCTCCCCGCCCCCCGTGCCGCCGTGCGAGGCCTCCTCGTCGCGATCCCGCGCTGCTCCTCGCTCTTCCCGCTCCGCGCGTCTCACGCGCTCGCCTCGCGCCCTCTCGCCTCTCCCGCGCCACCCCCGTGCCCCTCTCGCTCCTTGCGGTCTTTCGTGCGGCGCCTCGCGGCGTGAGTAGTGGACGGTCCTAGCGCAGGATAGACGCGCGAAGCTACGGAATAGACGCGTCAGTTAGTGTGAAATAGACGCGCGAGGTGCTTCGACGCGCCGCCGACATGCGGTCGTGCGACGCACGGTGATTGTCCTTCCCAGTGTGCGACAGCCGCCAGTGAGCGACAATCGTCAGGGTGCTTCTGCCTCCTGTGTGCGACAACCGGCGCGGGCATGGTGGCGAAGCGAACTCGACAGCTGGTCATTGTGAGACGCGCGGCTGCTGCCGCCCCTGTTGGCCCCCCTCCACCCGCTCCTGCTCGCACCGCTCTCGCCCGCCTTGATCTGCGCGCACTGCGTGCTGCTGCTGCGTCGCCCTGCTTGTCCATCCATCCCCTTCTCTCCTTCTCTCCGTGCCTTCACTTTCTCGTGCAACGCCGTTGCTCGCCTTTTCCTGCCATGCACCCTCATCACATGCACCCTCATCACATGCACCCTCATCACATGCACCCTCATCACATGCACCCTCATCACATGCACCCTCATCACATGCACCCTCATCACATGCACCCTCATCACATGCACCCTCATCACATGCATCCTCATCACATGCACCCTCATCACATGCACCCTCATCACATGCACCCTCATCACATGCACCCTCATCGCATGCACCCTCATCACATGCACCCTCATCACATGCACCCTCATCACATGCACCCTCATCACATGCACCCTCATCACATGCATCCTCATCACATGCACCCTCATCACATGCACCCTCATCACATGCACCCTCATCACATGCACCCTCATCACATGCCGTGCTGCCACATGCCGTGCTGCCACATGCCGTGTTGACACGTGCCGTGTTGACACGTGCCTTGTTGCCACATGGTGCCACGTGGCAGGGCGTATTGGCGGGCTGCATCATCACCGCTATCCTCTATCTCTTCGCCGTGCTCCAGGTGCGTGCAGGTGCGCCCAGGTGCGCCCAGGTGCGCGCAGGTGTGCCGAGGAGAGCCGATGCGCTCCAATACGCTCTGCTTGCCTGCTCCGCTGCTATGCTCTTCTGCTATGCTCTTCTGCTATGCTCTTCTGCTATGCTCTTCTGCTATGCTCTGCTGCCCAGCATCGAAATTATCCCTCTCCTTTCAACACCCGCACCCTTGACTTGCATGTGCCATGCCATGGCATGGCAGCAACATGTGGGGCAGGAGCGCAGGGGGGCATCAGTGGATCTGGACGCGCGCCTTCACGCCATTGAAGGTCGCCCACCCATCCCCTTCCTCCCATGTCGCTCACTCCCATGTCGCTCACTCCCATGTCGCTCACTCCCATGCGTCCATCCGCGTTGCTGCCACCTCGTGTCATCTGCACCCTCCTCCCCGCTCTCCCCTCCGCTCTCTCCATCATCTCGCGTGCCTTCCTTCCGCTCTCCGCCCAGCCCAGCCCTTCCCTTCCCATCCCATCCCATCCCTTCCCTTCACCCCGTGCCTGCCACCCTGCCTGCGCGCGCCTGCCTGCACCTTTGGATGAGCGCAGAGCAAGTGGCGCGGATGGCAGCGGCGGACTTGGTGGGGGTGGTGAGGGAGGAGGTGGGGCGGGTGGGCGGGCAGGTGGAGGCAGTGCAGGCGCTGCAGCGAGCCAGCGCGCAGGCTGGGGGGGACAGGGGGGCGGCACTGGAGGCGAGGGCGAGGGAGGCGGAGGAGAAAGCGGCGCAGCTGAACGACACGGTGGGGCGCCTGCAGGCTGCTCTCAGGCAGCACAGCGCCACCATCGCTGCTCTGCAGGTGGGCAACACAGTGGTGCCCATGCAGGTGGGCAACACAGTGGTGCCCATGCAGGTGGGCAACACAGTGGTGCCCATGCAGGTGGGCAACACAGTGGTGCCCATGCAGGTGGGCAACACAGTGGTGCCCATGCAGGTGGGCAACACAGTGGTGCCCATGCAGGTGGGCAACACAGTGGTGCCCATGGGCGGATTCTTTCAAAATGTCGTTCTGACCACCCTCACTTCCATGCCATTCCATTTCATGCCGTGCCGTGCCATGACCAATACATGCCATGCCATGGGCCCCAATGCATGCGTGCGTGCGTGCAGGCAGCGGAGCAGGCAGCAGCAGGAGCGGCAGGGAAGGAAGGGGGGCGGCCACTGGGGAGGACGGTGGTGGAGGAAGACCACCCGGGGCGATGGAGGCAACACACCTTCCACCGCACGGGCGCCTATGGCTTCATCCAGTACAGGTGCTCCTCTGCACCACGGCACAGGTGCTCCTCTGCACCACGGTACAGGTGCTCCTCTGCACCACCGCACCGCGCACGCCGCTTTCTCTGCTTGCCACTCGTGGCAGCAAGCATCTAAACATCCCTTGCATTCCCAACCCCCACGACCGCACTCTTCTTCTTCTCCCTCTCGCCCCTCACCATCTCTCCCTCTCGCCCCTCACCATCTCTTCCTCTCTCCACCCCTCGCCCCTCTCTCTCCACCCCTCGCCCCTCTCTCTCCTTGCCCCTCGCCCCTCTCTCTCCTTGCCCCTCGCCCCTGCACTGCCCCCTGGCATGCATGCAGTGCGTACCGGCTGACAGCGGCGCGCATAGCGGTGGTGGGGATGGGCGCGCTGGGGCTGCGCAGCAAGCGGCGAGTGGAGGGGTGCTGGTGGCACCGCCTGGACGGGCACACGGTGGTGGCGGGCAAGCTGACGCAGATGGTGATGGAGGAGCACCACAACTACCTCGTGCGTCGCAAGTGCTTGGGGGGTCAATGGCTGCACACCTCCAACAAATTGCTCTCACATCGCGCCTTTTTTTTTTGTTTTTTGTGATTTTGTTTCCTCATCTGCCCCTGTGCTGCCCTCACATGGTGGCCATGGTGCCCCCATGCGTGGAGGCAGTACGAGCTGGTGGTGCTGCAGTGCGCGCTGGAGGAGGAGGTGGCGGAGACGGGTGGGCATCTGCGCATCTTCCTTGACCGCCAAGTGCTCTTCCCCTTCCGTGAAGACACCAAGGAGGTGCGCCAGGGGGGGGGGGGAGAAGCATGTGAGGCAGGTGGGAAGGGGGGCCAGGCCATGCGACTGTGGACAAGTGTGGCGGTAGGAGGATGACATGGATGCAGGCACTCATGGATGCAGGCACTCATGGATGCAGGCACTCATGGATGCAGGCACTCATGGACGCAGGCACTCATGGACGCAGACACTCATGGACGCAGGCACTCATGGACGCAGGCACTCATGGTCGCAGGCACTCATGGACGCAGGCACTCATGGACGCAGGCACTCATGGACGCAGGCACTCATGGACGCAGGCACTCATGGATGCAGGCACTCATGGTGCAGCCGCACATGCTCATCATGATCTTCACCCCGTCCCTCCCCCCTCCCCCCCCTCCCCCCAAGGCAGAAGATAGACAACGGCACGGGCCCCATGGCGTACCACGTTGCATACTGCGGGCCACCGATGCACATGGAGATGGAGCAGCGCAGCGTGCACCAGTTCATCCACTACCACCGCTACGCCGCCGGCTATGACCACTTCCGCCTCTATGATGCCACCGCTGTCACGCCCGCCCTCACAGCAGCGCTGCAGCCGCTCATGGACGACGGGCTGCTCTCCATCGCTGACTTCCGAGAGGCCTACCAGTTTGACTCGTGGTACTTCTCCCAGGTGACCTCTCTCACTCCCACTCCCCCTGCTGCTCCCATCCCTCCTGCCTGCTCGCCTGTCTGCTTTCCTGCCGCTATGCGCCGCCGTCCTGTCCCCTCTCGCTCCCATACCTCGCATTCTCGGTTGCCAGCGCTGAGCCACTGCGACGTGATCCCCTGGTCCCCGTGCCCCCAGGCGGTGGCGATGCACGACTGCATGTATGGCATGCGGCAGCGCGCCCACTGGATCGCCTTCCACGACCTCGACGAGTACCTCGCACTGCCCCCGCCCGCCTCCCTGCCCGCGCTGCTGCAGCGCTACACAGAGCTGCCCTACATCACGCTCGGCATGTACGTGTTCAGCGCGCACCTCTGTGAGGACGGCCCCGACGACGTGTGGAGCGACGACGAGAAGCGCTTTGCCGTGGAGCGCATGGTGCAGCGGCGGGCGGCGCCGTACTGCCTGCGCGAGGAGGAGGACCCGAAGCTGTGCATCGACTACTACGGCCACCGCAAGATGTTCCTCAACCCCCGCAAGGTCACCTGCTGCTGCCATTGCTGCACTCTTGATGCTTTGCTGCACTCTTGATGCTTTGCTGCACTCTTGATGCGTTGCTGCAGAATTGTTGCCTTCCATATGAATGAGCGTGCTGTCACTGCCACGCTGTCATGCTGGTTGGTGGTGGTGGCCATGGGGCGGTGGGCCATGCATGGGGGGTGATGTGCAGGTGGAGGCGGTGTACGTGCACCGGGTGGACAAGCCAGCCACAGGCGGGGTGGACCTCAGTGTGGACGACATGTACTTCGCCCACCTGCGCTCGCTCAACGGCAAGGGAGTGGCGTGCCGCCCGCCCACGGACAAGGAGAACGACATCCCGGCAGCGGAGCTGGAGAGGTGCACCACCGTGGCCGACACCGCTGCACGCGCCAGGGAGTGCGCCCAGGAGGGCTTCACCAACCAGGTGGGCGGGTGGACAGGGGCGCGGGGTGGTTGGGTGCGCTGTGTGATGGGTCACCTTGCCTTGCCTCCCCCACCACTGCTCTTACTGCCTGCCCTCTGCGTCGCTGCTGTGTGTTGCACCATTCACGACCCACACTCCCCTGTGTGTGATTCCCTGCAGTTCCTGTGCAAGCCCAGAGCCACGCGGTAACTGCCCCTCGATGCACCCATCACCTGCTCCACCCTCACCGCTGCAGCAGAAATCTGCCATACCGACCTCGCTGCAAGGGGGATGCTTCAAGCAACGCGCTTGCTGTGCCGTGAACAGGGGCCTGATGCTGTCATGCGCGTTGCATGTTGCATGCTGGCACATGCTCAATGACCTGCTCACTGTGGAGTGGATGCATTGAACTAGTAGATTCCACCAACCGTTTGCTGGCAGCAGGTCAGGAGCAGTGCAGAGGGTGCGGCATGGTAGGATGCTACAGCCCCACGGCCATGCACACGCATGCCACTCGCCTGCTGCTTCCTGCCGTGCCCTCCCTATGCATGCCTGCTCACCCCTGCACTGCACTGCAGTGCGTCTCATGGTGTGGCCCTGCGTCTCATGGTGTGGCCCTGCGTCTCGTGGTGTGGCCCTGCATCTCATGGTGTGGCCCTGCGTCTCATGGTGTGGCCCTGTCTGTTCCCACCTGCCCATGCCACTCCGGTCATACCGTACCTGCTAGTTGGCAACACCATGCTGTAGCCCAGTGTCAGTGTCGTTGATACTATGATTTGCGATGTGAATCAGTGATGCTCTTGCAAGAACCTAGAAAGCATACGGTAACAGACATCCATGAGACACTGCTACGGTATTATTGCCTTGCCACACTCAGTGCCTCCCTGCCAGTAAATACCATGCCTCCCTCCCACACTCGATGCCTCCCTCCCACACTCGATGCCTCCCTCCCACACTCGATGCCTCCCTCCCACACTCGATGCCTCCCTCCCACACTCGATGCCTCCCTCCCACACTCGATGCCTCCCTCCCACACTCAATGCCTCCCTCCCACACTCAATGCCTCCCTCCCACACTCAATGCCTCCCTCCCACACTCAATGCCTCCCTCCCACACTCAATGCCTCCCTCCCACACTCAATGCCTCCCTCCCACACTCAATGCCTCCCTCCCACACTCAATGCCTCCCTCCCACACTCGATGCCTCCCTCCCACACTCAATGCCTCCCTCCCACACTCGATGCCTCCCTCCCACACTCAATGCCTCCCTCCCACACTCAATGCCTCCCTCCCACACTCGATGCCTCCCTCCCACACTCAATGCCTCCCTCCCACACTCAATGCCTCCCTCCCACACTCAATGCCTCCCTCCCACACTCAATGCCTCCCTGCCACTGAATACCTCCCTGTCACACTCAATGCCTCCCTGCCACTGAATACCTCCCTGTCACACTCAATGCCTCCCTGCCACTGAATACCTCCCTGTCACACTCAATGCCTCCCTGCCACTGAATACCTCCCTGTCACACTCAATGCCTTCTTGCCCTGCCACACTCAATGCCCCCTTGCCAGTCATTACCTTCATGCCACACTCATTGCCTCCCTGCCAGCCACCACATTTCTGGTCAGAACAATCTAGCTGGTGGAGGGTGCTGCAGGCATGAAGTGATGGGGTTGGGGTGGTAGTTGGCTAAGATGAGAGTCAAGGTTCTGGTTGTAGTGAGTGGATCCAGCAACAATGAGTAAAATTATCATTTTTCTCCACCTACAAAGTTTTTCTGCTTCCTGGAGGTTCAGAACCAGTTCCATCCACTACCCCTGCCTGCAGTGATTTTGCCTTCCCTACTATAGTTGCAGCTGGTAATCTCGTTCTTATGTGCAGTATTTTTAATCTGGCTAATAGAGCACACAATCAGCTCTTGCCCATATCCGTTCCACAAGAAAACTCAAGGAAGCAAGCCGGTGTGCTCAGCACCAATGCTGGTATTGTGGTAACTATTAAGGTGCACAAGCAAGCTCTGCAGCTTACCCTTCAGCCAGCTGGCTGGGTGAGTATGTTCATTTTCCGAATGTTCGAGGGAAAAGGAGGGGCACGTAACAAAGCACCAGCCTCATTCCCGCGTGTTGCATATTGGAACTCACAGCGTGTTAGTTCCTTGTGATTCCTTTCCACTCTGTACTGCAGGTGTGAATGAAACACGGCTGAAAGGGGGGTATAACTGCAGGAAACTAGATCGAAACATGCCAAAAAGGTAAAAACATGGCACTTATCTAAGGGGTATCGCCCCGTTTACCTAGTACACGTAGCCCTTCACGTGGAGGCTCTCCGTCGCAGCACCGGAGGCGGCGCCGCCGGCGTACTTGCCGAGGGTGGCTTCGGAGTTGCTGCGCGCGCGCGTGGTGAACACTTCTTGCGCCGCCTTCACGTTCTCCTCCTTGCCCTGCCACGCGGCCAGCGTGCTCTTCTGCAGCGCGCGCCCGTACGAGAAGGAGAGCGTCCACGGCTTCTTCGTGTCCAGAGCGTTCATCGCGTTCAGGTTCACCGTCGCCTGCTCCTCGCTCTGCCCGCCCGACAGGAACATGATGCCGGGCACGGCGGCGGGCACGGTGCGCTGCAGCGCGCGCACGGTGAGCGCGGCGATGGTCTTCTCGTCCACCTTGGGGCCGTCGGACCCGGGCGTCACCATGTTGGGCTTCAGCAGCGACCCCTCCAGAAGCACCTTCTGCTCGCTCAGCGCCTTGTATGTCGCCGCCAGCACGCGCTCCGTGACCTCGGCGCACTTCTCGATGGTGTGCGAGCCATCGGTGAGGATCTCGGGCTCCACGATGGGCACGAGGCCATTCTCCTGGCAGATTATGGCGTACCGCGCCAGGCCCTGCGCGTTCAGCTGGATCGCCAGCTCCGTCGGCTCGTTCGCGCCGATCTTCAGCACCGCGCGCCACTTGGCGAACCGCGCGCCCGCCTTGTAATACTCGGCGCAGCGCGCGCCGAGCCCGTCGTGGCCCTGCGTGGTGGTCTCGCCGTTGGTGCCGGCGATGTCGACGGTGCCCTTGTCGACCTTGATGCCTGGCAGCACGCCGTTCTCGTTCATCAGGTCGACGAACGGCTTGCCGTCCGCCGTCTTCTGGTACAGCGTCTCCTCGAACAGGATCACGCCGCTCAGGTACTGCATCGCGCCGGGCGCCGTGAACAGCAGCTCACGCAGCGCGCGGCGGTTCGACTCCACATTCTCGACGTTGATGGCGCTCAGGCGCTTGCCGATGGTTCCAGTGCTCTCATCAGCCGCCAAGATACCCTTTCCTGGGGTCGCGATCTTCTTGGCGTTGGCAATCAGCTCCTCTGCAGTAAAACAAGGTAGAAATACAAGTCAAAACAATTTTTTATTTCTCTTATTTGAATTCCGTCAAGCTGAATGTTTGTGAAAGATACGGCAAGCAAGTGCAAACACTAACGCCTACTCGAGAACCTCTCACCACGCGTAAGAAAAAATGATAAATACCTCAATAGCTCGCGATATCGTACCTGCGTACTTGCCGTTGTAGGCAGCCATGGCTCTACAAATTTGGGAGCGGACAAGAGATGAGAGCTGACGAGAAATTACAGTTAGAGGAAGCTTGGAAAAGGAATCTGGAAAGCAGCAAGCTGTGAATTGAGGAGAATGACAGGTCGACGGGGATTTGAAGCACAAGAATCGGCCTTCTCGCAGGCGGGACTTTGGGGGGCATGACAGCGATGCATGCCACGTGCAGAAAGGCATGCGATGATGTGGACGAACCAGAGGGCTTTTTGCCCCTCGGCTTCCGCGCCAGCTCAGACAAGCCCCAGATCCCAGCACTTCGGAATGGAATCCTGCCAAACGCCAATTGCGCAGGGTCGTGCTGGCACTAAAAATATCGCCGCGCGGCGCCCAACCATTCGGCCTCCCCTGTCTCCGGATGACCCACGGTGTACTTGGGAGGAATGCGGCCCGCTGCTGGCATCCACCCTTGCACAGTGACACCCGAATGTCGCTAATGTGCATCCATAAAAACATATACACCGTTTGTATTATTGTTCTATCTAGCAGCGAGAACACCATTGGCGTGTTCAAACCGAAACCTCGGCCCGCCCCGACTGACGACTCTCCAACCCTCCCCTCCCCTCGCACGTTCCGTGCATCAGGCGTTCATTTACTTGAGGGCGCCTCGAATGTAGGAGGTTCAGTGAGTCCACGACACCTATAACGCTTTCTTCCTTTTCCGTTCGCTGGGGAGTTTAGCGTTGCTCGCTGCACCAAGAGTAGCTTATTCCGCTTCTCCGTGCGCTTCGCGCTACTCTGCTCTGCGTATCCATCCAATCACTTCCCTCGCTCTAGTCCCCGACCGCGCGGCAATGAGGGGAAGCTCGGGGGTGAAGCGGGTGGGCAAGTACGAGCTGGGGCGGACGCTGGGCGAGGGCAACTTCGCCAAGGTGAAGCTGGGGCAGGACGTGGAGAGCGGGCGGCGCGTGGCGATCAAGGTCATGGACAAGGACAGGATTCTGCAGCACAGGATGGCGGACCAGGTGACGCCGCCACCCTCGCTCCGCTCTCCTCGCCGCGTCGTTTGATGCCTTCCTTACTGCGCTCCACGTCGCCGGCATTTGAACGCGACGCCGCCATTATGACGGCGTTCGCGCAAAGCCGTTGTCGCGCCTCGCCACGCGTCACTCACACCCGGTTCTCTTCCGTTTCCGTGTGTTGCTCAGATAAAGCGCGAGGTCTCGATAATGAAGATGGTTCGCCATCCCAACATCGTCCAGCTTATTGAGGTACTCTCAAACGCGTCTATGGATGGAGGTACAGTCGAGCTCCTGCACTATCATCCCTGAGCTAGTGAACTGACGCGATTCCTAGTGTCGGGATTGGCCTGTCGATTCACGGACATTTGTCCGTTTTCCCTGAGAATTCAGGGTTCGTTTCAGATCAGCTCGAAGATTTTCAGGGTTGGTTTTTCCCAGGCCCGGATCCCAAACGGACAGGTTTTGGGCCTTCCCCGGATTTCCCGTACCTGTCTCCCGCTCCCAATCCCCTCCTCCCTTTCTTCCTGACCTTAGACCGCGAACTGGTCCCTCTCCCCTCCTCCCAGTAACACCAGACCAGTCCCTCCCATTCCCCTAACGTGCTGTGCTCTCTACTAGTCTGTGACAGCTCGATTACCTAAGCTTTTTAACGCAAGTATCATCAGAGCCAGAAGTAAAAATGCCCTGAATTGAAGTCCGCTGCCCGGATCCTTCAGGGTTGATTTCGGGGCAGCTCAGCTTCGTACAGGTTGGACTCAGACCTAGCGACAGCCCTCGTCACCCTAACCTCCACTGTGCCCCGTGTCCCTCCGTGCCGTCCCGTGCATGCCGGCCGGCAGGTGCTGGCGTCGCGCAACAAGATCTTCATGGTGCTCGAGTTCGCGGCGGGAGGCGAGCTCTTCGACCGCATCGTTAGTGCGCACGCCCTCCCCCTCGCGCTGCCGCCACTCGCGCACGTTTCCGCTCACTCTTCGCCTTCACCCGCCCGCACCATATCCCTTCACCCGCCCTGTCAGTCGCTATCATCCATTTGGTCGCGCCGTCACCATCGTTGTTACTCGCATCTCACTCCCTCCTCTCCTTCCCCCACCTGCGGGCTCCGCACCATGCGCGCCTTCCGGCGGGGCTCCCTGGTGCGCGCGCGCAGGTGTACCGCGGGCGGTTGGCGGAAAGCGAGGCGCGGCGGTACTTTCAACAACTCGTGGACGCCGTCGACTGCTGCCACGCCAAGGGCGTCTGCCACCGCGACCTCAAGGTGTTATAATCAAACTCCTCTTTCTCTTTGATTTCCCAGTTCCTCCTTTCTCTGCGCCAATTTCACCACTTGCGTGCACAATGTTACCTCTCATTGCGTGCACAATGTTACCTCTCATTGCGTGCACAATGTTACCTCTCATTGCGTGCACAATGTTACCTCTCATTCTCCTGCTCCCTCTTATCCCACCCTTTGTGCGTGGCGTGGCGTGGCGTGGCGTGGCGTGGCGTGGCGTGGCGTGGCGTCAGCTGGAGAACCTGCTTCTGGGCTCTCTCTCATCCGCCTTCCCCCTCCCCCTTCCCCTTCCCCCGCCCCCTGACGTGGCATCAGCCAGAGAACCTGTTGGTGGACGAGCGCGGCAATCTCAAGGTGTCGGACTTCGGGCTGAGCGCCCTGCCACAGCAGCAGCACCGCGACGGGCTGCTGCACACCACCTGCGGCACGCCCAACTACGTCGCTCCTGAGGTGCGCCCCTCTGCCCCTCCCCCCAAACCCCGTCGTCATGCCTCCTGCGCCTGCTCTTCCATCGCTGTGCCCACCGCACCCCGCCCAGCCCACACCCACCACCCTCGCCGTTCACTCCTCCCCTGTGCCCGCCTCCCCCTGATTTCCCCTGCGCGCCCCTTGCAACCCCCTGCGTCCCTCTGCGCCCTGCGTGCGCCTACCCCCCCCAGGTGCTGCACAACAAGGGGTACGACGGGCGCAAGGCGGACGTGTGGTCGTGCGGGGTGATCCTCTTCGTGCTGCTGGCGGGCTACGTGCCCTTCGATGAGCCCGACCTCGTGCTGCTCTATGACAAGGTGAGGCGTGCTGCTCTATGACAAGGTGAGGCGTGCTGCTCTATGACAAGGTGAGGCGTGCTGCTCTATGACAAGGTGAGGCGTGCTGCTCTATGACAAGGTGAGGCGTGCTGCTCTCACGCCTGCTGCTCATGGATTCACTTACACCCGCTGCATGCTGCCGTGGGGTGGACCAAGGCGCGCGCGCTGGACCACTCCCCTCCTGCATGCGCAACTTCCTGCCCTCCTGCATGCGCAACTTCCTGCCTTCCTGCATGCGCAACTTCCTTCCCTCTAATAGCTCAGCAATGTTCTTCCCTCGCCCTTTGCCTCCCTCCCCTCCCTCTCTCCCTCTCTCCCCCTCTCCCCCCTCTCCCCTCTCCCCCCTCTCCCCCTCTCCCCCTCCCCCTCCCCCCCCTTCCCCAGATATCCCGGGCGCACTTCAAGTTCCCCGAGTGGTTTTCGCCCGGGGTGAGGCGCCTCATCACGCGCATCCTCAACCCCGACCCCGCCACTGTATGTATGCCATGCCATGCCATGCCATGCCATGCCATGCCATGCCATGCCCCATCTCACCGCCACTCCTTCCCCCGCATGCCCTCATGCTCCCACCCACCAACCCTTCTTCCGCCCCTCTCTTCCCCATTCTCCTCTGCCCCCCCCCCCCCCCACTTGTCTCCACCCTCTCCTTTCCCGCCCCACGCTCGCTCCCGCCATGCCGCTGTGGCATGGCAGCGGCCAGGGCTGGAGGCGATACGGCGGGACGAGTGGTTTCAGCGCGACTACCACCGCGCCTACCCACTGCCCGACGACACTGAGGGGGCGGGGGGCACTGAGGACGTGCTGCTGCATGCGGGGGTGAGGGGGGAGGGGGAAGAGGGGAGGGGGGAGGGGGGAGGGGGGAGGGGGGAGGGGGGAGGGGGGAGGGGGGGGGGGGGGGAGGGGGGGGGAGGGGTGGCAGGGGGAGAGGGGGGCGAGGGAAGGACGGGATGGAGAGGGGCAGAGGGAGGGAGGGTGGCATGGTGGTGGTGGATGCGCGGAAAGCAAATGCGCTGTGTGCTGCGCCATGCCCTCGCCCTGCCCTGCTCCCCCCCGTTCCTCTTGCTTGCTCGTGAAGCGTCCGTCCATCCCCAAACATGCCCAATGCGCTGCTGCTGTCTCGTCTGCTCGTGTGTGTGTGTGTGTGTGCTCACTCCCCTTGCAGCTACACCCGGTGGCAGAGCTGTCAGTGAGAGTGCCGCACTCGCCCTCCCTGCAGGCCTCACTGCCCGTCTCCCTCAGCCCGCGCATCACTGCAGCGGCAGCGCCACCACCAGCACCAGCGGCAGCGCTGGGTGGCTGGGAGGCACAGGCAGGGGGGGCGGAGGAAGGGCGGGCAGGGGGTGCAGGAGAAGGGGGGCCGGGAGCGGGGGCAGGGGAGGAGGGGCCGGAGTGGGTGAACGCGTTTGACTTGATAGCGCGCGCGCATGCGCTGGACTTGGGGGCGCTCTTCCACCGCCGCGCCCACCCCGTGCTGCGCCACACCAGATTCGCCTCGCGCCTGCCGCCCGCCCTCATCCGCTCGCGCCTCCTGGCCCTCGCACCCGCCCTGCACGCCCACGCGCACGCCAACCTGTTTAAGGTCCGTTCAGTGCAGGGGGCGAGGGGTGTAAGGAAGGGGAGGGGGGGGGGGGGGGGTAGAGAACCTGGTGGGAGCCAGGCTGTGTGGCGAGAGGTGGACGACGCGATACATGAATGGTCTGCCTTGCCATGCGCTTTGCCATTTGCCTTGCCATGTGCTTTGCCATCTGCCTTGCCATGTGCTTCGCATCTTGTGCTCTCACCCCTTTTCATGCCCTCTTATGTGTGACCCCAATCACCTCATGTGGCGGTGCTGCTGTGGGCGGCACATGGCAGATTCGGTTGGAGCGACCAGCAACAGCACAAGGGGGGCATCTCACCGTGGTCATTCAGGTACCGTGCTCATGCCCATGCTCGCCCATCCACTCCCATGCACTCCCATGCTCGCCCATGCTCGCCCATGCTCGCCCATGCACTCCCATGCACTCCCATGCACTCCCATGCACTCCCATGCACTCCTATCCACTTCCATCCGTGCTGCACGTGTGTGTAGGTTGCGTGAAAGCATGGGGCTGACCCACAGAGGAACTGTTTCTTTCTCTTCAACTGTGTGCGTCTGTCCCGTCTGCATCACTCGCACCACTTGCAAAATGACCCCGTTGCTTGTCTGTCGTTGCAATGGAGTGCGGTGCGGTGCGGTGCAGATATTTGAGATGACGGCGGGGGTGTTCATGGTGGAAGCACGCAAGGCTGCTGGCGACACCCTCGAGTACCACAAGGTCAGCCCTAATCCCTCGATCCATTCCCTCCCTCTCCCTCTATCCATAGCCTTCGAGCATCACAAGGTCACCCCACCCACATAACCCCTCCTCGTCCCGCCTCGCCCCCCACCACCACAAGGTTTGTCAGGAGGCTGCTCTCAGCGCCCCCTCACTGCTCTCAGCGCCCCCTCACTGCTCTCCCCATGAAGCTCACGGGGTGGGTTGAGCGTGTGTGTGCAGCAGGTAATCCTGGGGGTACGCACAGTGCAGTGTGTGATGCCTGCTGCCATGTCACTCATGCCGCCCACCACTGCATGCCGCCCACCACTGCATGCCCGCCCACCACTGCATGCCCGTCACTCGCCGCACCTTTCTGCCTCTCCGCCAGCTGGGTCCTCCGCAGCAAGAGAGCATGAGCGGGCAGCCGATGAGTGTACTGAAAGCGTGCTTATGGGGTGTGTTTGGGGGTTGGGTGGGTGTGGGGGTGTGTGGGTGTGTGTGAATGCCATGTGTGCTGGCTGTGCCTTTCACACACCACTGTGCAGTTGTATCGCAGCCTGGTTGCCCGGGCCAAGGACCTGGTGTGGCATCCAGACGCCGCTGCCGCCCTGCCAGCCCCACCACCGGCGCCACTCGCAGTGCCGCAACATCTGCCATCCGACACCCCTGCACCAGCGACAGTAGCAGCAACAGGAGCAGCAGCAGCAGCAGCAGCAGCAGCAGCAGCAGCAGCAGCAGCAGCAGCAGCAGCAGCAGCAGCAGCAGCAGCAGCAACAACAACCGCAGAAACAGCAGCAGGAAGGACAGCAACAGTGCCAACAGCAACAGCAGCAAGGACAAACACATCAGCAGCCACAGGAACAGCAGCAGCAGCAACAGCAGCAGCAGGTGGTAGTGACATGAATGAAGGGACAGTAATGAACAGTGGAAAGGTAGAGGAGCCACAAGGGCGCATGGAGGAGAAGCACAGAGGCTCACCCACCACCATGCATTCTACAGGATGTGTGGTGCCAACAACAAACAGCAGGCGTGGGTTCTCAGGCTGACACACTAGCACTTGATGTATGTTGTTGCAGTTTGTGTGTATTATAGCGTTACTCTGTGCATATCATTTTTTAAGGGTTGTCAGGTCCCTTTCCACATTCTTCAGTCACTTTAGTTCAGAGGGATATGTAAGTGTCTCATCCAGATTGTGAAATATAAAGACATTTGCGTAGGTGAGATGATGTTGAGATGTAAATGGATATTCTTGAATTTGAATGATGAAAAACGGGATGCTGGTGTACCCAATTTCATGCGCCTCTACAGATTTACAGTACTTTACTAGTCTCTGAATGCATCAATCCGCATACGTGATTATATTGAGGGAAGTTGACCCAAGTCCTTGGGTCCTACAGTCTGCGCAAGTGTAGTGTAGCTCAGGGTGTGACCCACGTGAAGTCGTTGGTGATTGTTTCCAGAAGCGACCTTTAGCGGTTGCAACGCAGGCACCTCAACACCTGACTTGGTCACCCTGGCTTCCCCAATTTATCCGAAATTGACCGAGTGTAGTGAACGAGTGTTGGAATTCCGAAAAGCCGGGAACCTCTCTTGGTTCTCGATTTTTATGCCTAGTCCCCCGCAAACGGTCTGCTAAGCTTGATGAATGTCCGTCCTGATTAAAAGTTTCGACCTTTCGAGGTCAATCAACGCATTCTGGTTGCAATCTTCCAGAAGGCATCTGAAAAACCAGCTGTGGGTTACTGGTATATACGACAGATGCCAGTCTGTCCCAGTCTGTCTGGTCGGCCAGCTCAATTATGAGAGTTTAGTTCGTGTTTTTTGCTCAGTCTTGGAAATTGCGGTACGTCCAAATCCCAGACGACCGAAGCCTGGGTGCCCAGCGTGGCAATGGTGACTCGGGTCTTGCCCAGGGCTGGCTAGGCTTTGACCAAACCTGATCTGAGTTGTTTGGCCAATAGGATCTGCTAGGGTGACCAGCGCTAGCCTCCAGTGGCGGTACCGTCACCCAACCATCCCAGCGAGCACGTGACACGCTCAGACTCGAATCGCATGCCGCGTGATGTGGATCATAAAATGTGCAACTGATCCCTCTGGCCCTCGCATGCTTCCGTGCGGCTTGTCCTCTCGACACCACAAGACCAGACACAAATTTAGGAACCACCAGCATTTTGAATCAATCGTCGCCAGCTCCGTCGTATGTCTAGATTCTAGGGAGCGATTATCCCTTCTGCTACTTCAAGTGCATTTTCCTGGATCAGATACGCACTGGCTTTTCAACTTCCAGGATCCTTACTTTTTGAGTTTTACTACTAGAGCCGAACTTACAAGTCATTTTCCGGGTCAGATACGTAGCTAGCGCATTGCATTTCCGATTTCAGCTAGCAATCTAGCACTTCGAAGAATCGAAAGAGTGGCCAGCCATGATCATGTGCCCTCGCAGCTCCTCCTTCGACGGGGCCGTCACAGTCTCCTACGGCTCATCCGTCCCGCTCCCGCCTCTTTCGCCGTCCGGGGTCGAGTCGCCGTCGCGGCTAGGCCAGAGCCGTTGGGACGACGTGGGGATGCGCTCGCTGGAGAGCAAGCTTGAGCTGCTCCACGCGCAGCGAGAGCTTAGCGCCCTTCGCTGCCAGACGTTTATCGACCAACTCGAATCCGCTTTCCAATCCCAACCGCCCACCCAACCCGACCGACTCGCACGCCGCCCTCCCTCTGTGCGGGCGCGTCGCGCGTCGCTCGATTTGTCGAGGGCAGAGAGCGCGCAGTTGGCGCAGGAGCTGCGGTTCTACGATGAGCCGGCGAGGTTCGCCCGCTCGCACTCCCACAGCGCCACTGCCAGTCCAGCCGCCGCAGTGCAGCGTCCGCGGTTCCCGCGCTCCAAGTCGCATCGCGGGCCGAGCCGAGGCTCCTCTCCCAGCCCGGCCGCTTTCATCCGCCGCCACTCCAGCCCTGGTGTCGCGCGCCACTCCCCCAGTTTGTCGTTCTCATCAGCTGGGGCGAACGGCCCAGAAGGTCTCAGCTGTAGTTTGGGGGGGCGAGCGAGCAACGCAGGCGCGCGCGAGTCGTTCATGGTGTCGCGACCAAGTCTCAAGGACCGCCCGCCGTATTCCAGACACGGCGACGTGAGGGAGGAAGAGAGAATGGCGCAAGAGGCGACTCGATGAGATTTGCGACTGCGACTGCCGCGTGACAGCATGCACGGAACAGGCCCGCCAGTGCGTGACGGCCGTGAAGCTGCGCGCAGGGGTTGAGGCGTCGTGTACCTGCGCGTTGGGGCTGGACGTTGGAGCTACGGAAGCCGCGGTGCAGCACCTTGCTTTGCTCGCTGGCGCCACCGTGCTGGTGGCGGGACGGAAAGAGAGCATCCGCGCCTACAACCTGGGCCAAACCGCCAAAAATAAGTCCGCAAGGGTTTGGGGAGGAATACGAGGTTTTTGAACCATCAACTGCTTCGCTTTCAGAGGCTTTGCCCCATTCCACGGCTGGAGTGGTCGCCTCCATCATTTCCCTACTCACTGGAATCGCATCCTTAGACTCACACTACAGATGAGACGGCGCGTCTGTGTGAAGGACGAAAAAGGCAATGCATACTCAGCAGCAGCTTGTGTGAGGCGATGGAAGCCATCAGAGAACGGCATTAGCAGATGACAGACTTGATCCTGAAGCACCATAGCCGGATCAGCACGCTTACTGATCTGCTTGTGAAACAAATTGTCTCCTTTGTAACACCAATTCGTGTTACATATTTGCAGCAACACCAGTAACATATTCGGTTGGCATGGTAGTTTTGGACAACTGCTTAGTAGTTACATTTAGTAGATATTATAATTCCAATATTACATTTTTCAACATCAACGGCACTCTATGCGTGAAGAGTGCCGCAACAAAATCTTGGAGCCGGAGCTTGGCCCGGAAGATTCAATCCAAAATGAGACGAGAAGAGATGGCCAGGCGGCATGGCATGGCAAAATGACGACGCTGACTTGGCATGCTTGCTGTCTTTCATGTTCCTTTACAACCGCATTTCGCGCAGCGCGAAAGCGGGTAAAACCAATCCCTCGAAAGGGCAAAACCGAGGCCAAGGCTGGTCCGATGCACGACGGTGCAACGGAGAGCTGGGTTGTGGAAAAAGACCGCACGGATCGCGGTAAGGGTCCACGTTGGCGTGGCGGAAAGGTGGTAGTTGGGGCGGCGAGGCGAAGCGCCACGGTATTGCGGCTGAAATTTGACAGCTCAATCGGCGAGTGCGGCTTGCGCCCGCTGAATCCGCGTGCGCGCGGCCCAGTGAAACACGGACTCATCGGCGCGACGCACGTCCACGCACGGGGGCCCGTGGCGAGTCGACGACCGAGCTGCGTTAGAAGCAACGGGAGCCGCTTGCGACTCGCAGGCTCGCGTCGTTACATCAGCAGGCTCTGCCGCGGCCCCGCGTGGTGCGTTACGAGTAGTCCACTGCGGGCAGGAGAGCGTCCGCCGGCACGACGGCGACGACGTGCACGACTGCTCGCAGGCGAGCTCGACGGCGACTGACGGCGTCGCGCACGACTGCGTGCGCACGAGAGCGGGCCCGCGGGGACTGCTGCCATGGCACGCGGCATCCCAATAGTAGAGACGGCGCTGGAGGCGGGAGGGAGAAGAAATGGCGGCGATGGGGTTGAGAGACGAGGAGGCGGCGTGGATGGTGCAGTCGCAGCGCGTGGAGACGAGCGACGAGTCCGTGCTGGGAGCGGCCGGATGGAGAACGATGTTAGAGGGAAGCACGGGCAGAGAGCTGGTCTTGAGTAGCGACGAGGGGGAGAGAGCACCGCCCATACTGACTGACTGACACGAAGAACCTTGAAGCTGGGCCATTTAGCGTAGTTAGCTCAAAATTAAACTACGGAGAGACACCCAGTGCAATAAGATATGCCGCTGAAGTATGCATTTGTTCGAAGGGTCGTGGTTGTGGGTCGAATTTGGGGAAACTTCAAGCCAAGGCTATTTACATGCCGAAACCTACCAGTGGGGGACGCAACGGCCCTAGACGGAAAGCAGAGAAAGCGGGCCCGCCACTGGCTTGGGGTTGCTGTTGCAGATGAATTATGAGAGGTGGATGGAGGCACACTGTAGATGAGGCCATAGTTTCCTGTCATGTCAACAGCCATGTGCGCGGTCCTAGCACTGTTCCGCGCATCATGCAGGGGAGGGAAGTAACAGTGAGCACACATGCACTCAGCTACGGGGAAACAGTGCATGCTTGTGGCAGCATTCGGAACTTGTGTTTTCCGAAGGGCCCGCCCTACAGTACCTGGTTTGGACAGTCGGAAACAAAATTAGGGGGTGTTCTTGGCCTGTGTCCAGCCCCTGACACAAGTCTACTGACGGCTGCGATCGCTCCACATCATCCTCAATCGAATCGAGACCCTTCACAGCTTCGTGTCAGCCTGCCTGACACCGGCCAAGAACGCCCCTAACTTCGAAATGCCTTCGTGTGAACTGAGATCATTGGCTGTTTTCTGTTTTGGCATGACTTGCTGTACAAAGCTGTACACTTCAAACACTTCAATCTGCCCCTCAAATCTGTAGTCCGAAATCAGGGACCTTTTTTCCTGATTGGAAGATATACTGAATCTGTACAGAAAGACACGAGCAATCGACCTGCAGCATCTGCCTCGTTCACGTTCATTTAAACAGTTCATATTCCAGCTGTCAAAGTGTGGCCTCACTTCCGACGATGGTTGGGTGAGAAGGTGTACATACTTGTATAAGGATCGTAATTGTAGGGTTTACAAAATTGAAGTTCCTCCACATTAGCAGTAAGACTGACGAGCCGATTTGGTTGAGATTGGCGGCCAGGCACGGCACATTCCCGAGGGGCGTGGTTGGAGGATTATTGAAAATGTGCGCCTATAATCAAGGGTGTACGAAGGAACTCCACCATACGTAACGTGATGTTAAACTTGCATAAGTCAACTAAGGGATCGTTCGTAGTTTTGACACCAGTGTCATTTTGCCATTTTGACACGAGCATACATTGTTGGCAGGGTGTCAAAATTTCGTGGATTGCTAGCCAGTACAACTAGTCGGATACATTTTGACTCTGACAGAGTCAACGCCTACAAGCCAGTCAGGATCGTCGCAGCTGCAATCTCATCACCCCTATCACCCAATCAAGTCGCACCGTCTCCTACTTGAGATCTCACAGCTAGTTGAGAATGTCGCTGGCTTGGACATGCACCAATCATTGAATACACGAGTAGGTCCCAACTAATCAGAATGCGTCGTTGATGATCCTACGCGCGCTTCGAGCTACTGATGCTACAGTGCTTGACACGCAAAATCGCTAGCGCTTCGGGTTGACACGCATAAACAGCTGGTGTCAAAACTACGAACAAGATCTAAACCAACTGAGATGAATCATCACCATAGATTCGTCACCGTTGTTGCGTTGGCACTTCATCCCCTCGACAGGAGGGAACGTCATAGAATTTGTTTTTATGCTATAAACCGTACCCAACCTTTGTTTAGTTTTTACGCGCCGCTTTACCACACACAACATCGCACCGCACCGTGAAAAAGTGTTCGTATGGCACGCAATGGCAGTTGTACATCACAACGAAAAGCGACACCATCAGGGAAAAGGGAGCTTCTGGAACTATTGTACACGAGGGGGGGCTGAATTGTCCTTTTCTCATATTACAACGCAAGCTGGAATGTGTAAAGCAGCAATTCTTGTGTCACACAGTGAAACACGCGTGAAAATCAAAACGCGTGGAAGGACAAGGATGGCTCATGTGCAACCAGGTGTGCAGTGACTTTATTAATGTACTATATGAAAAATGGGGCATTACGTAGTGTACTTATTGTTATGAGTTGTAAAAGAGAGTGCGCGGAATAACGAATAACTAGGCTGTGACTCAATGAACTGATAATACAAGGAACACGCTAGTGACTACCCTAGCTAGGAGGGAACCTCGGGAAAGCGAGGTTGGGTGCAGGTTTGGCGATCGGAAAGCTGAAGGCGAAGAGGGGCAGCCTCGGCATCGTGAATGTAGGCCGAACGTGCGAAGTCCGAAATGTCGGGGTTGTATGCGTAGCAGTCAAGCCCGGAAAGGAAAATCCCTTACACTTATGGTACACTAATGCCCTAATCCATTGTTCACCAGTCATGACTAATGCTGCAATTTTTATCTCCAAGTATAGCAACAGCTATAAACTGTGAAGATCAAGGAAGCCTACAACGTTGATGCTCATGAATACCAATTACGGTAACGTATAATTAACGCACTACCATATTAGTGGTAACAGTCTATTCCAGGCCTACGGTAAGAACTTACACTACGCGTGTCTCGAGGAGCCTCGAAAAGGCTCCCGCTTGCAGATCCCTGAACAGGCAGTGCATGTACAGCAGCTGTCGCCAGGGATGGATGTGTGGGTTGATGCCCACCTCATGCCATGCACCTACCCACCCACGGACCCACACAGGGGCTTATTAGAGCCGTAAAGTGGTGCTCATGTTAGCGGGTCAAGGCATCCTTCTGGCAGTTAACACTCATCTTTATAATCTCTCACACCTGCTGCCACCCTTTCATTTTCACCATTGACGCTCTTCTTTGCCGCACACCCCGTACACCTTCTCCCTACTGACACCCATCCCCAGCCCCCAAACCCCAACCTTCTCCCCCAATCCCCCTGCCCCACCGCCTCCATCCACCCCTCCCGGCCAGCCTGCATGCCACCCACAGCAGGTGGCGGTAGGAGGAGGAACTGCCCCCTGGTCACTTGTCTGCTCCCCCTCGGCCCCTCTGCGCCTGGCTCCTCAGCAGGTCCAGCAGCGCCCTGGCCTTGCCCTTGGAGCGCTGGGACCCCGTCTGCGCCACCTGCTGCAGCGCCGGCACCATGCTCTCTGCCAGCATGGCATGGCAGCTCGCCGGCTCACTATTGGCCAGCATCAGCAGCGTCATCACCGCATCCTCCTTGGCACGCTGCGACCCGTGTGCCACCACTCGCACTAACGTTGGAATGGACCCGGGCAGGTCCAGCAGATCATCACAGCCCTCGGGCATGCGGCAGAGGTTGGCCAGCACGGCCATGGCCTTCTCCTCCAGCCCGCCCTCCTCACTGCCCAGCATGCCCACCAACACCGGCACCGCCCCCGCCGCCACGATCTCAGCACGGCTGCGCTGGTCGCGCGAGAGGTTGAAGAGCACCAGAGCAGCGTCCTTGCGCCCCCGCGTGCTGCCCGACCGTAGCACGTCCACCAGCGGTAGCACCGCCCCTGCGCGCCGCACCAGACACTGGTTCCCGTCGTCTACCGAGAGTGCAAAGAGCGCTGCTGCGGCGTTTTCCCGAGCCACCTGCGAGCCCGACTGCAGCACGCCCGCCACGGCGTCTATCCCCCCCACTGAGGCGATAATGGCGGGCGCACCGGGCACGAGGGAGAGGTTCAGGATGGCGGTAACCGCATGCTCCTTGATGGCGGGGTGTGCATGGCGCAGCACACGCACGAGTGCCGGCACGCCCCCCGCGGCGATGAGGCGTGCCTTGTTGTCGCGGCTGCCCTTGACGAGCGCCCTGATGGCCGCCACTGCCTCCATGCGATCCGCCTCCCCCCCGTGCGCCACCGCCCGCACCAGCGTCACCATGTCCGGGGGTGATGCCGCTGCTGCTGCTGCCAGTGGGGAGAGGGGATGGGCTGAGGGGCCGTCAACGTCCCTGTGGGAATCGGCTGCGGCAGCGGCATGGTGGTTGGAGGAGAGTGATGACGTGCGCTCTAAGGACAGCGACAACCGACCCGAGTCCCCGCCCTCTCTGCCCACTCCCGCCCCCCCTGCTCCCCCCTGTCTCACCCCTGGCCCTGCCCCTGCCCCTCCTCTCCCTCCAGTTCCTCTTCCCCCGTCTCCTCTTCCTCCTCCTCCTCCTCCTCCTCCTTCCCCCGTCGCCCATTCCTCTGCCCGGCCCTCTCCCCCCCGCCCCCCGCCCTGCACCCTCCCCATGCAGGGGGAACACGGCACGCACCTTGGCCCATCCCCGCCCCCGCCCGCCCCCTCCTCCGCCCTCTGTAGCCCCCTCCCCGCCTCGCCCCCCTCCTCTGCCAGTGCCTCCCCCCAACCCCCGCCCACCTGCTCCCCTTCCCCCATCCCTCATCCCACTCCTCCCCTCGCCCACCTCCCTCCCCACCACCGCCACCCCCCTTCCCTGTGCCTGTGGCCCCTGCCCGCCTCTCCCACTCCCTCCACTGCGCCCCCCTTCTCCCCTCCCCTCACCCTCCTCCCCCCGCTCCCCAAGCTCGCCCTGCGCCCACTGCATGGCAGCAACCGCGTCCTGCCCCCCATGATCCGACGACGACCGCCGAAACACCTCCTCCGCCTTCCCCCCGTCGCCCCCTCCGCCCTCCCCCAGCCCCACAGCGCGCCTGGCCTCCCCCCACAGGCTGCGCCGCTCAGGCGCGGGCACAGTGGCGCTCTTGCCGTAAGCCGCGCCCTGGGGGGGGGTGGACGGGCGCACCCCCGCGCCCCACGCGGGCAGGGGGGGGTGGGCGGAGCGGGGACTCAAGGGGATGGATTGGGCGGAGTGGGAAGGGGTGGCGGTGGGGGCGGGGGCAGCGGGTTTGGGGCTCTTGAGGGGGCTGCGGAGGGCCTCTCGCAGCCAGGCAAAGGTGCCGCCCACCCTGCCCACCCGTGGCTGCGCTGCCTCCTCCTCATGCCCCTGCCCCTGCCCCTGCACATGCTGTTGCTGTTGCTGCTGCTGCTGCTGCTGCTGCTGCTGCTGCTGCTGCTGCTGCTGCTGCTGCTGCTGCTGCTGCAGTTGCGCATGCTGTTGCAGTTGATGCGACGGCAGGTGCCCCCCGCTGCCGCCATTCCCTTGCATGGCCTCGTACCCCCCATGCCCATGCACCCGCCGGTCCCCCATACCCGCCATATCCCCCACGTCCCCCTCGTCACTAGCATCCGACCCATCGAGCTCATCCAGCAGAGCGGACGCATCAGGGGGCAGGGAGTAGTCGGAGCGCCGAGAGGAGACTCCGCCATTGCTGCCGCCGCTCAGGCGCCGGGACACGGCACGGCCCTCGCCTGAGCTGCCCATGGGGCCACCCACCGCAATGCTGCTGCTGCTACTGCTGCGGCTCTGCACTGCCAGCGACGCCACTCTGCGGTGCGATGCTGACAGCTCTGGCCCTGCTGCTTCCCCGCGCCGCACCCCTCCCCCCACCCGCCCTCCCTCTGCCTTCATCTCCCTTACCACCTCGTGGAACCCCTCTGCACCATCCATTCCCTCCATCCCCTGCTGCCGCCCGCTGCCGCCCACCACAGCCAATGAGGATGCGCGCCGCAGCCCCTGTGCGCCGCCCGGCACGTTCATGCCTGAGGGCGGCCCTGTGGGGTCGAGTGCGGTGGTGTGCAGTGCCCTGTGTGCCGCCCGGCCCAGCCCCCGATTGTCCGTCTGTGACGACCCCCGCTGCAGCTGCCGCCTCCCCTGCCCCGCCCCTCCCAGGTTGCGCCCTGAACCCGTGCCCGCCCCTGCTGCTCCCCCTGCTTCTCTGTTACCTAGCCGCGACCCTCCCGCCCCTGCCCCCGCTGCCCTTCTCTGGCGCACGGACGACCCATCGCTCTCCCAGTCGCTCCCCCCGCGCCCCTCCCCTTCGGACTGCGCCAAGCTCGCCGCCCCCCTATGCTTCCCCCTCCCCCTTGCCGCGCCCATCTGCCCCCCTCCGCCCCCCTCCTCCCCCCCGCTCATCCCGCCCTCGCCCCACAAGTGCTGCTCGCGGCGCACGCTAGAGAGGGCGGACAGGAACGTGTCGTCCGTGTCACTGGCGCCCATGCCCTCATGCCCCTGCCCCTGCAAGTGCCTGTGCTGCCCCCCCGCCCCCCCATGCCCCACGGACTGCACGGACTGGATGGACCCTGAGCGCAGCAGCGCGCCCTCCTCCGCCACTCGCCGCCCCAGGCTGCGCTGCAGCATTGGCGGACTCCTTCCCCCTGCGCCCCCGCCCCCCTCGCCCATGCCCGCTCCCTGCTCGCGCCCCTCGCTGCCGCTGCCAGCATCCCCGCTGCTCTCCACGCTGCTATCCCGCCGCCATCGCGGCGGCCCCCCAGGGCCCCCCAAGCCCTGCGCGCCCGCGCCCACGGGGCTGCGCGGACCTGTAGAGGCGCGCGGGGAGAGGGGTGTGGAGGAGAGGCGGGGGGAGGGCGGACCCGATGCGTGCATGGGGGAGAGGGTCCCGGACGACTGGATGGGGGAGTGGGGCGCGGCGGCGGAGGCTGCGGAGGTGGGGGGCGCGGAGGCGGGGAGGTGCGAGGCGAGCGCCCATGTGTCCATGGATAGGTCGCGGCGCAGGGCGAGCAGAGGAGGGGGATGGCGCGCGGAGGGCGCGGGAGCAGTGTGGCCGTTGGCGGGGCTATCCCCCAAAGGGGGACCGCTGGGGTGCATGGCGGCCTCCCGGCTACCTGCGCGCGGAATGGGCGCCTCCCTGGCGCCCGCTGGCGCTGCTCGTCCCGGACTGCGCGGAACCCCGGGGGCACCCCATCCCAACTCCCCTGATGCTGCGCCGCTGCTGCTGCTATCGCGGATGGGCGGAAGTGACGACGAGGAGCGCCCAGCAGGGCTACGCGGCAGCGCCGCGGCGCGCAGGGCGGCGTCAATGGCGGCGGCCCTGGCGCCCATGGCGCCGTCGCGCGACACGCGCATAGACGACGACCCCACGGGGCTGCGCAGACTGCCTGACAACGTCAGCCTCGGCCCCCCCGCTCCCGCGCCACCCGCTCCAGCGCCCGCCGTGGCAGTGGGGCCTCTGCTGACGTCGATGGAGAGCTCTCGCCCCATGCGGAACGACGCCGACCGCATGCCCGCCGCGCCCATGTTGCGCAGAGCGTTCCCCCGCCCGCTCACCACCGCACCCCCTGCACCGCCTCCCCCTCCCCCCGCGACTCTCCCGCCACCCGCCATGGGCGCGTCGGCGGGGCTGCCGGCGCTGGAGCTGCGGATGGCGCCGAGCAGCGCCGCCTTGAGCTCGCTGTCGCTGCCGTCGCTGCTCGCGCGGTCGCGGAACGACTGGCTCGCGCGCCCCGCCGCCAGCAGCCGCGCGCCGGGCGGAATGCCGCCCCCCGGCCGGCCCGGCGCGCCCCTCCGCGCCTCCCTCTCCGACGACGACTCCCCGCCACTCTCCCCCGCGAAACGCGACTGCGCCACCTCCCCCCGCACCCCCGCGCCCGCGGGTCTACGGGGAACAAGGTCGTCGACGGCGCCGCGGAAGGAGTCGCGCGTGGCGTCGAGGCCCAGGCTGCCCAGACTCGCCGACAGCAGCCCCTGCGACTGCAGCGACGACGTGCGCCGCAGCCCGCTCTCCTTGTTCCCCCCATCGCCGCCACACCCCTGCGCGGGTCGCTTTCCCGAGGGAATGCCGTTGCGGCCGTTGAGCAGCCGCAGCGACCCGTCCGCGTGCGCGCCCGCGTGGCCCTGCTGCTTCGCGCGCATCATTCCGCGTTCTAGGCTGTCTGACCGCCCTACACCATCCGCCATCGCCCCTCTCCCTCTCCGCCCTCCCCTGCCTGCTCCTGTCCCTCCTCTCCCCGCGCCAGGACCCCGCGCACCCCCCCTCCCCCCGAGGCTGGCGACGCGGGGCACGGGGAGAGGTTCGTTGGAGCGCCAGAGCGCGTCGGATTGACCCGACTCGTAGCCGTCCGATTCGTCGTCCTCTAACGCGTTAAGGAGAGATTCGATATCGTCTGCCTTGGGCTGCAGCGAGTGAGAGCGCGCGAGACCCGAGGAGCTGCTATCACCTGCGCCCTCCTGCCCCAGCACCCGCAGCACCTGCGACTGGCTCCCCCTATGTCTCGGCCCCGCCGCCTGCCGCGGCTGCGGAGGCCCTGCGCCATTGGGGGCCGCGCCTGCTTGTCTCCGCGCGCCTGCTCCCCCCAGCTCGTCCCCGGACAGGGGACTGGAGCCTATCCGCTCCGCAGAGGAAATGCGCGCGCGGGGACTGTCGGCGGAGGAAACGCGCGGCACCCCCCCGCCCAACACCACTCGCAGCACCGCCCCTCCCCCTGAGGCTGTGCGCGGAACCATTGCGCCAGCGGGGGATCCCCGCACCGCCTGTGCGCCATTCCCCGACGGGATGCGCTGCACGGATCCCCCGCCCGAGACCGATCTTGAAACGGCAAGGGAAGCGGAAGGGGGGTTGCGCGGAACACTTTCCCCGCCAGCAGGGGAGAAAGGCCGCTCTTCCGCCCCCGAAGGCGGAGTTCGCGGGCGCTGAAAGGCGCCGGGGAGAGTACGCGCTTGCGAGGAGAAAGGGGCTGCACCGCGGGGGCTTTTGGGCGGAGTGCCGGGGGGGGTGATGGGGCGTTGCGACTGGTTGGAGGAAGGACCAGGGGGAGGGAGACCGGCACACGCGGAGTGTGCGCCCGGGGAGCTGTGATTGCTATCGCGCCCGCTACGCGGAGAGAGCAGCTCCGCCTCTTGCGCGCGGAATTGGCGGAGTTGCTGCTGCTGCTGCTGCTGCTGCTGCTGTTGCAACCGTGACTGCTGCTGCTGCTGTTGCTGTTGCTGCTGCTGCTGATACACGCCGTTTGCGAGCGGCTGCCGCCCAGAGCTACCATTGCCCGAGCCTGCTAAGGACTGACTGCCGTGGCGCGACTGGGAAGAGCCCTCCCTAAAGCTACCCGTCCCCTGCTGCCCCTGCAGGTCCACGCGCACGCACAGCACGCCCGGCGCGTACGGCACGGCATTCGCGTCGCACCACTGCGCGATAAGCTGCCGAACCGCCTGGTTCGGAAACAGTCGGTAGTGGTCTAGTCGCGATCCAGTAACGGGGCAAATGCGGTTGCCGTCGCGGTACCATTTCTGGATGACGGCGCGTTCGAAGGTGAGGCCCGACGCCGTGATGACCGGGTCGGTGAGCAGCTGCAGCGACAGCGGACACACGAACTCCGCCGGCACCGCCGGCTGCTTGCCGTACCGCGTCGGGTGCCTCAGGCGGTACTGCGCGTTGGGCATCGCTGGCGGCGTTACCTGGCTGCGCGCAGAGGGCAACGGCTCGTTGGAAAGGCGGCATGATCGAGCGGCGACATGCGCGCCGGGATCGCCTGCTGTGCCGAACTTGGAAGTAGGCGTGGTTTAGGATTGTAACGCTAGAAAGCGCGAACTAGTGTCGTTGTGAGTCAATAAATACAAGAACGTAATTTACGACGCAGTCTTGACCTAACGATCGCTTGTCTAAAGATGTCAGTCAGGAACGTAAGATATATGTGTGGAGGGTAGATTAGGTTAGGTCAACTGCCTCGGTGTTTGTGGGAAGGTCACGAGGTGGGAGGGTAGGAGCATGCAAGGATGGTACGGAGGGCGGCGGACGCTGCTCCAAACTTGGCGACGGGTAACCCGACCTTGCGAGACGAACATTTGAGAAAGCGTCGTTGCGAGGAATCACCCGCGAGAGACACACAGCAGTAGCGAAATCTGACGAGCCTCGCAGTAGCTTGATGTTTGTGGAATATGGGGTCATTGTTACGCCATAAAACTCAATTATGTGTAGAAGAGAGTGAGAACACCATCCATCCAGACAATATACCATGGCGTACAGTTCCCATCCTTCGTTATCATCCAAATGGCCAATAAACAGGTACCGTAGAGCCTTTTGCCAAGGCTGAGTGCCGAGGAACAAGGAATGTACCAGTCCACTAGAGTAATCAATATTGCACCTCTACAAAATGTACATGCCCAAAGTATCTTCATATGTGTCTAGACTCTACATTCAGAATTATCTACTCGTTGCATTGTCCCAAGTTCCTAAGAATGTCCAACAGTGCACGGGAATCAGAGCTTGCCTGACTTTTCGCTGCAAGCTTGGCCAGTGGAGGCAGGCACCCTTCGGCCATTATTCTCCGAGCCATGGCATCCCCACCATGCCGTGCCACGGCCAGCAGAGTGCACGCTGCCTTGTCAGCAGCATGCTGCGAGCTGCCTTCCATCACATCCACCAGCACAGGCAGCGCATCCTCATCGTTCACAATGGCTGCCACACCCACCTCGCAGCGAGCCAGCACGGCCAGCAGCGACGCTGCCTTCTCCTCCACGCCCTCGCCATGCCTCTCCAGCAGACCCACCACCACCGTCACCACTCCCAGCGCCACTGCCTGCTCTGCCGCCTGCTGCAACCCCACCAGCCCGTACAGCGCCAGGCACCCATCCTTGAGCGCTCGGGGCGTGTGTGCCGTCTGCACCAGGTGCACCAGGTGTGGCATGGCACCAGCAGAGCGCACAAGGCGCTTGCGCTCCTCCTTGGTGGATGACAGAGTGAAGAGCGCCGCAGCTGCGTTGGCCTTGGTGGCTTCAGCCGCCTCTCCCTGCCCGCCCACCTCTCCTGCGGGACGCAGCACGTCTACCAGTATGGGGATGCCTCCGCGCGCCACCACCTCCCTCGCCCCCTCGCGTGCCAGTGACACGTACAGCAGGGCAGCGCATGCGCTCTGTGCCGTGCCTTGATCGTCGCACTGCGCCGCAGCCAGCAGCGGCGCCACGCCACCCGCCTGCACCAATCGTGTGCGGTTCTCTTCCGCCTCCTTCACTGCCACGTGGATGGCCTCCGCGGCGACCCGCCTCACTGCCACGTCAGCATCCTGCAGTGCGTCCACGAATGGCCGCATATCTCGCACGGGCGTGTCCTTGCTGCGGCGGCGACTGCCATGTGGCGAGTTGGGATTAGACGGCTGCAGGCGGGAGAACGACGCGCTGGCGGAGAGGTACGAGCAGAACGCCACGTCATTTGCGTCGTCCTGTGACGTGACGGCGAGCTGCTGATTGTGGCGGTGGCGGGAGGCGTGGAGAGGCGTGGAGGGGCTGCTAGCGGCGCTGCCAGCGGCGGCCCAGTCGAGCGATGCGGTCTCGGAGAGAGGCGAGATGGTGCGACACAGAGACCTGCCGCTGCTGCCCGCGCCTATCACGTGCCGCGGAATCGCCAAGCCCGCCGCGTCTGGCGCCGGGAGTTCGTCACCGTGGCCCCTGCAAGCGGAGGCGCTGCGGTTCGGTTGGAAAGAATGGCGGCGCTGAAGCGGAGAAAGGGGCGACCGCAGTGGCGAGGAGGGCGCGCAGCGCGGGGGAGAGGCGAGCCCGTTGATGACGACTGGCGCTGAGCGCGCAGGGAGGGCGGCGGGAGAGGGGCCGAGGGGCGACGAGGAGAAAAGGGGAGGAGGGGGAGAAGGAGGGGTAGGGACGCGCGTGGCGTGAGAAAGGCACCAGGCGGCAATGAGCTGGCGGAGCGCGTCGTTGGGAATGAGCGCGCAGTCCGCGAGTGCAGCCCCCGTCTTGGGGCAGAAGCAACCGCCGCGCGCGCGGAAGTGGTCAAGGCTCGCACGGTCGTACGACTGGCCGGTGGGCGCGATGACAGGGTCGCGCATGATGGCGCGCGACAGCGGACACACGAACTCCGGTGGTACCAACTCCGACGAATCTAGGTCTGAAGAATACGTCATTTCCGGAGGACACGTAGCGGAGTGCGGTATTCGCGAGGGTGGGACGGAGACGGGAAAGCATTGAACGTGGGCCATGGACGGCGATGTGGTGATGTTGAGCGGAAGAGCACGCAGGGACAGTTGAATCGAGATTCACGAAGCTGAGAAGCCAGAGGTCGGCTAAATGTGGAGATTGCATGAAGGCTAGTGATGGAAGTGGGATGGTGGGAAAAAACACAGAGAGAGCACGAGCACACTACGGTCGGCTTCATGGTGGTGTTAGTGAAGAGTGCGGTCGCGCCGCGCAAACGGGCTAAACTGCACAAAGGGTAGATGGGGAGAGCAGAAGGCAGATTCATTGCGGCAGTTACTACTGTGGACTCACGTGCTGAGTGGGGTGGACATGGCGGCTGATGGTGGGGGTTGTGGATGGAGGGAGGGGAGAAGCTGGTTGAAGCATCGAGGGGTGTTGCGTGGAGGTTACTTTTGCGAATTTTGCGAGTAAAATAGAGTGAACGTAACCGGACATACGAGTGTGTTTTGCTTCCGAGCACCAGTTGAATCTCTGGCGAACAACTGTGGGACCATGTCGCCCCACCACAACAACTCGCCCAATCCTTTTCAGTTACCAAGACCACCAGCCTCATCGGGACAACCTTGTCGCGAGACAACTAAGTTCGCACCGACAGCTGGTGCGACGTTTCATTCGGTATACATCAGATTTTCTTGAGATTCGCTCCAACCAGAAAAGTGCAGAAATCGAGAAGATGCTTGAATTTGGACAAGTACTGCAGGACACTTGAAATTGCTGATGTGGCATCCAAGCTCCCTGGCGTTGTATAGACGGATTCACTTGCAATGATTCCTAAGTAAAACACTGATGCGAGCTTTGTAGAACCTGTTAATAAAAAGCACAAGGTAATCATGGTACTCCTATAATCTCCATACACCAGACCACGCCTAGGGAGAACAATCCCCTGAGACTGTTACACCAGTTTTCACGATTATGTCCCTGGGGCGGCCCCAAGCACACTGCCCCCAGGAGGAGCTCCCCCCATGGGTGGTCGGGGAGGAGGAGGAACAGCCACGTTGGGCCCTGGCCCACCCCCACCTGCCCCCCCTGCACCAGGCGCAGGGGGAGGGGGGGGCTGCCCCGGCCGCCACCCCCCTTGGTGGGGTTGAGGGGGCGGAGGAGGCATGGAATAACCCTGGCCAGGCGGGGGATAGGAGGGGGGAGGGCCGCCAGGAATGGGGTAGCGGGGAGGGGGAGGGTAGCCCCCACCTGGTGCTCCGCCCTGAGGGGGAGGGGGGGGATAGCCTCCCCCTGGTGCTCCGCCATGGGGGGGAGGGGGCGGATACCCCCTTCCTGGTGCTCCCCCCTGGGGGGGCGGGGGAGGATAGCCCCCCCCTGGTGCTCCACCATGGGGAGGAGGAGGGGGCATGCGAGGAGGGGGGGCATAGTGCTGTGGAGGGGGTGGAGGCTGGTTCTGCTGCCAATGCTGAGGGGGAGGCGGTGGCATCTGGCGGGGGGGGTACTGCTGGGACGGAGCTGGGGGGCGCATCTGGGGAGGGGGGTAGTAGTAGGGGGGGCAGGGGACGCGCCCGCACCGCCATAGGATGGGGGAGGAGGGGGGCGGTAAGGGGGAGGTGCTGGTGAGGGCGCAGGGGGAGCAGGAGAGGTGTACGGGCGAGGAGGGGGAGGGGCGGCAGCAGCAGGGGGGATGGAAGGTGGAGGCGGGCGGGAGGGGGGAGGAGGAGGGGGGGCGGAGGGGGGAGCTGCAGCAAACATGGTGTGGGGCCGATGACGGGTGGTGGACGGGTTGTTGGCCGCCAGAAGTCGCTCTGAAGAGGGGAGAGAGAGCAGGGACAAGGGGAGCAGAAGGAAACGAATGGGGAAACAGGTAAGAGGAAGATAGCGAGAGTGCAAAAGTACAGAACAAGCCGTTCCATCACAAGAGCGAACACATCAACACCAAACATTTGAACTTCTAATGAAATTCATAGCTCATAATACGTCGATACCAATTTACTGCACTCGCACCACTTGCGAACCAGAATAGTACCCACAAAAATAGCAACCAGCAGCAGGCACAAGGAAAGAAGTCAGCATCCACAGAGCGAGAAGTCACCTGCTGGGGTGCCATGTCGCTCCCCCTTGGTGTCCTTCTTGAAGGCATACGACACCGAGATGGCCCGGTTGCACAGGTACTGCCCGTTCATGGCCTGCACGCACATGCACGGCAGCAACCAGGGCAATTCGAGCATTGGACTTCTCAGCTTGGACCAACCTGAATAATGTTGAGCAAAACAATGAAAAGCAACACGCAACACCTCGATGGCAGCATGCGAGAGACTGGTACCTCAATGGCAGCATGCGAGAGACTGTTACCTCAATGGCAGCATGCGAGAGACTGGTACCTCAATGGCAGCATGCAAGAGACTGGTACCTCAATGGCAGCATGCGAGAGACTGGTACCTCAATGGCAGCATGCGAGAGACTGGTACCTCAATGGCAGCATGCGAAAGACTGGTACCTCAATGGCAGCATGCGAGAGACTGGTACCTCAATGGCAGCATGCGAGAGACTGGTACCTCAATGGCAGCATGCGAGAGACTGGTACCTCAATGGCAGCATGCAAGAGACTGGTACCTCAATGGCAGCATGCGAGAGACTGGTACCTCAATGGCAGCATGCGAGAGACTGGTACCTCAATGGCAGCATGTTCGCGAGAGACTGGTACCTCAATGGCAGCATGCGAGAGACTGGTACCTCAATGGCAGCATGGGAGAGACTGGTACCTCAATGGCAGCATGCGAGAGACTGGTACCTCAATGGCAGCATGCGAGAGACTGGTACCTCAATGGCAGCATGCGAAAGACTGGTACCTCAATGGCAGCATGCGAGAGACTGGTACCTCAATGGCAGCATGCAAGAGACTGGTACCTCAATGGCAGCATGCGAGAGACTGGTACCTCAATGGCAGCATGCGAGAGACTGGTACCTCAATGGCAGCACGAGAGAGACTGGTACCTCAATGGCAGCATGCGAGAGACTGGTACCTCAATGGCAGCATGCGAGAGACTGGTACCTCAATGGCAGCATGCAAGAGACTAGTACCTCAATGGCAGCATGCGAGAGGACTGGTACCTCAATGGCAGCATGCGAGAGACTGGTACCTCAATGGCAGCATGTTCGCGAGAGACTGGTACCTCAATGGCAGCATGCGAGAGACTGGTACCTCAATGGCAGCATGCGAGAGACTGGTACCTCAATGGCAGCATGCGAGAGACTGGTACCTCAATGGCAGCATGCGAGAGACTGGTACCTCAATGGCAGCATGCGAGAGACTGGTACCTCAATGGCAGCGGCAGCACGAGAGAGACTGGTACCTCAATGGCAGCATGCGAAAGACTGGTACCTCAATGGCAGCATGCGAAAGACTGGTACCTCAATGGCAGCATGCGAGAGACTGGTACCTCAATGGCAGCATGCGAGAGACTGGTACCTCAATGGCAGCATGCGAGAGACTGGTACCTCAATGGCAGCACGAGAGAGACTGGTACCTCAATGGCAGCACGAGAGAGACTGGTACCTCAATGGCAGCATGCGAGAGACTGGTACCTCAATGGCAGCATGCGAGAGACTGGTACCTCAATGGCAGCATGCGAGAGACTGGTACCTCAATGGCAGCATGCGAAAGACTGGTACCTCAATGGCAGCATGCGAGAGACTGGTACCTCAATGGCAGCATGTTCGCGAGAGACTGGTACCTTGATGGCAGCATGCGAGAGACTGGTACCTCAATGGCAGCATGCGAGAGACTGGTACCTCAATGGCAGCATGCGAGAGACTGGTACCTCAATGGCAGCATGCGAGAGACTGGTACCTCAATGGCAGCATGTTCGCGAGAGACTGGTACCTCAATGGCAGCATGCGAGAGACTGGTACCTTGATGGCAGCATGCGAGAGACTGGTACCTCAATGGCAGCATGCGAGAGACTGGTACCTTGATGGCAGCATGCGAGAGACTGGTACCTCAATGGCAGCATGCGAGAGACTGGTACCTCAATGGCAGCATGCGAGAGACTGGTACCTCAATGGCAGCATGCGAAAGACTGGTACCTCAATGGCAGCATGCGAGAGACTGGTACCTCAATGGCAGCATGCAAGAGACTGGTACCTCAATGGCAGCATGCGAGAGACTGGTACCTCAATGGCAGCATGCGAGAGACTGGTACCTCAATGGCAGCACGAGAGAGACTGGTACCTCAATGGCAGCATGCGAGAGACTGGTACCTCAATGGCAGCATGCGAGAGACTGGTACCTCAATGGCAGCATGCAAGAGACTAGTACCTCAATGGCAGCATGCGAGAGACTGGTACCTCAATGGCAGCATGCGAGAGACTGGTACCTCAATGGCAGCATGTTCGCGAGAGACTGGTACCTCAATGGCAGCATGCGAGAGACTGGTACCTCAATGGCAGCATGCGAGAGACTGGTACCTCAATGGCAGCATGCGAGAGACTGGTACCTCAATGGCAGCATGCGAGAGACTGGTACCTCAATGGCAGCATGCGAGAGACTGGTACCTCAATGGCAGCATGCGAGAGACTGGTACCTCAATGGCAGCACGAGAGAGACTGGTACCTCAATGGCAGCATGCGAAAGACTGGTACCTCAATGGCAGCATGCGAGAGACTGGTACCTCAATGGCAGCATGCGAGAGACTGGTACCTCAATGGCAGCATGCGAGAGACTGGTACCTCAATGGCAGCACGAGAGAGACTGGTACCTCAATGGCAGCATGCGAGAGACTGGTACCTCAATGGCAGCATGCGAGAGACTGGTACCTCAATGGCAGCATGCGAGAGACTGGTACCTCAATGGCAGCATGCGAGAGACTGGTACCTCAATGGCAGCATGCGAAAGACTGGTACCTCAATGGCAGCATGCGAGAGACTGGTACCTCAATGGCAGCATGTTCGCGAGAGACTGGTACCTTGATGGCAGCATGCGAGAGACTGGTACCTCAATGGCAGCATGCGAGAGACTGGTACCTCAATGGCAGCATGCGAGAGACTGGTACCTCAATGGCAGCATGCGAGAGACTGGTACCTCAATGGCAGCATGCGAGAGACTGGTACCTCAATGGCAGCATGTTCGCGAGAGACTGGTACCTCAATGGCAGCATGCGAGAGACTGGTACCTTGATGGCAGCATGCGAGAGACTGGTACCTCGATGGCAGCATGCGTGCGAGAGACTGGTACCTTGATGGCAGCATGCGAGAGACTGGTACCTTGATGGCAGCATGCGAGAGACTGGTACCTCAATGGCAGCATGCGAGAGACTGGTACCTCAATGGCAGCATGCGAGAGACTGGTACCTTGATGGCAGCATGCGAGAGGACTGGTACCTCAATGGCAGCATGCGAGAGACTGGTACCTCAATGGCAGCATGCGAGAGACTGGTACCTCAATGGCAGCATGCGAGAGACTGGTACCTTGATGGCAGCATGCGAGAGACTGGTACCTCAATGGCAGCATGCGAGAGACTGGTACCTCAATGGCAGCATGCGAGAGACTGGTACCTCAATGGCAGCATGCGAGAGACTGGTACCTTGATGGCAGCATGCGAGAGACTGGTACCTCAATGGCAGCATGCGAGAGACTGGTACCTCAATGGCAGCATGCGAGAGACTGGTACCTTGATGGCAGCATGCGAGAGACTGGTACCTCAATGGCAGCATGCGAGAGACTGGTACCTCAATGGCAGCATGCGAGAGACTGGTACCTCAATGGCAGCATGCGAGAGACTGGTACCTTGATGGCAGCATGCGAGAGACTGGTACCTCAATGGCAGCATGCGAGAGACTGGTACCTCAATGGCAGCATGCGAGAGACTGGTACCTCAATGGCAGCATGCGAGAGACTGGTACCTTGATGGCAGCATGCGAGAGACTGGTACCTCAATGGCAGCATGCGAGAGACTGGTACCTTGATGGCAGCATGCAAGAGACTGGTACCTCAATGGCAGCATGCGAGAGACTGGTACCTTGATGGCAGCATGCGAGAGACTGGTACCTTGATGGCAGCATGCGAGAGACTGGTACCTCAATGGCAGCATGCGAGAGACTGGTACCTCAATGGCAGCATGCGAGAGACTGGTACCTCAATGGCAGCATGCGAGAGACTGGTACCTCAATGGCAGCATGCGAGAGACTGGTACCTTGATGGCAGCATGCGAGAGACTGGTACCTCAATGGCAGCATGCGAGAGACTGGTACCTCAATGGCAGCATGCGAGAGACTGGTACCTTGATGGCAGCATGCGAGAGACTGGTACCTCAATGGCAGCATGCGAGAGACTGGTACCTCAATGGCAGCATGCGAGAGACTGGTACCTCAATGGCAGCATGCGAGAGACTGGTACCTTGATGGCAGCATGCGAGAGACTGGTACCTCAATGGCAGCATGCGAGAGACTGGTACCTCAATGGCAGCATGCGAGAGACTGGTACCTCAATGGCAGCATGCGAGAGACTGGTACCTTGATGGCAGCATGCGAGAGACTGGTACCTCAATGGCAGCATGCGAGAGACTGGTACCTTGATGGCAGCATGCAAGAGACTGGTACCTCAATGGCAGCATGCGAGAGACTGGTACCTTGATGGCAGCATGCGAGAGACTGGTACCTTGATGGCAGCATGCGAGAGACTGGTACCTCAATGGCAGCATGCGAGAGACTGGTACCTCAATGGCAGCATGCGAGAGACTGGTACCTCAATGGCAGCATGCGAGAGACTGGTACCTCAATGGCAGCACGAGAGAGACTGGTACCTCAATGGCAGCATGCGAGAGACTGGTACCTCAATGGCAGCATGCGAGAGACTGGTACCTCAATGGCAGCATGCGAGAGACTGGTACCTCAATGGCAGCATGCGAGAGACTGGTACCTCAATGGCAGCATGCGAAAGACTGGTACCTCAATGGCAGCATGCGAGAGACTGGTACCTCAATGGCAGCATGTTCGCGAGAGACTGGTACCTTGATGGCAGCATGCGAGAGACTGGTACCTCAATGGCAGCATGCGAGAGACTGGTACCTCAATGGCAGCATGCGAGAGACTGGTACCTCAATGGCAGCATGCGAGAGACTGGTACCTCAATGGCAGCATGCGAGAGACTGGTACCTCAATGGCAGCATGTTCGCGAGAGACTGGTACCTCAATGGCAGCATGCGAGAGACTGGTACCTTGATGGCAGCATGCGAGAGACTGGTACCTCGATGGCAGCATGCGTGCGAGAGACTGGTACCTTGATGGCAGCATGCGAGAGACTGGTACCTTGATGGCAGCATGCGAGAGACTGGTACCTCAATGGCAGCATGCGAGAGACTGGTACCTCAATGGCAGCATGCGAGAGACTGGTACCTTGATGGCAGCATGCGAGAGACTGGTACCTCAATGGCAGCATGCGAGAGACTGGTACCTCAATGGCAGCATGCGAGAGACTGGTACCTCAATGGCAGCATGCGAGAGACTGGTACCTTGATGGCAGCATGCGAGAGACTGGTACCTCAATGGCAGCATGCGAGAGACTGGTACCTCAATGGCAGCATGCGAGAGACTGGTACCTCAATGGCAGCATGCGAGAGACTGGTACCTTGATGGCAGCATGCGAGAGACTGGTACCTCAATGGCAGCATGCGAGAGACTGGTACCTTGATGGCAGCATGCAAGAGACTGGTACCTCAATGGCAGCATGCGAGAGACTGGTACCTTGATGGCAGCATGCGAGAGACTGGTACCTTGATGGCAGCATGCGAGAGACTGGTACCTCAATGGCAGCATGCGAGAGACTGGTACCTCAATGGCAGCATGCGAGAGACTGGTACCTCAATGGCAGCATGCGAGAGACTGGTACCTCAATGGCAGCATGCGAGAGACTGGTACCTTGATGGCAGCATGCGAGAGACTGGTACCTCAATGGCAGCATGCGAGAGACTGGTACCTCAATGGCAGCATGCGAGAGACTGGTACCTCAATGGCAGCATGCGAAAGACTGGTACCTCAATGGCAGCATGCGAGAGACTGGTACCTCAATGGCAGCATGCGAGAGACTGGTACCTTGATGGCAGCATGCGAGAGACTGGTACCTCAATGGCAGCATGCGAGAGACTGGTACCTCAATGGCAGCATGCGAGAGACTGGTACCTTGATGGCAGCATGCGAGAGACTGGTACCTTGATGGCAGCATGCGAGAGACTGCTACCTCAATGGCAGCATGCGAGAGACTGGTACCTCAATGGCAGCATGCGAGAGACTGGTACCTCAATGGCAGCATCAGACGCCTCAAATGAATCGTAGCTGATGAACCCAAAGCCCTTGGAGTTGCCACTCTCCGTATCCCTCATGATCTGCACTCACACCATGCCATGCCATGCCATGTGCCATGCCATACCATTCGACAGTGGACATAAAAAAAAAACAGCTGCATCAGCCCACTATGAAGCAGCGGGAAAGGGCATGAAGTCACTTGGAGGGGGTGGGGATAGAGCAAACACACACAAGCGTGACATGATTGAATAGCCCACCTTGGGGTTGGGAGGCGCACCATGAGGTTGGGAGGCGCACCATGGGGTTGGGAGGCGCACCTTGGGGTTGGTAGGCGCACCATGGGGTTGGGAGGCGCACCTTGGGGTTGGGAGGCGCACCTTGGGGTTGGGAGGCGCACCTTGGGGTTGGGAGGCGCACCATGGGGTTGGGAGGCGCACCATGGGGTTGGGAGGCGCACCTTGGGGTTGAGAGGCGCACCTTGGGTTGGGAGGCGCACCTTGGGGTTGGAAGGCGCACCTTGGGGTTGGGAGGCGCACCATGGGGTTGGGAGGCGCACCATGGGGTTGGGAGGCGCACCTTTGGGTTGGTAGGCGCACCATGGGGTTGGGAGGCGCACCATGGGGTTGGGAGGCGCACCTTGGGGTTGGGAGGCGCACCATGGGGTTGGGAGGCGCACCATGGGGTTGGGAGGCGCACCTTGGGGTTGGTAGGCGCACCATGGGGTTGGGAGGCGCACCTTGGGGTTGGGAGGCGCACCATGGGGTTGGGAGGCGCACCTTGGGGTTGGTAGGCGCACCATGGGGTTGGGAGGCGCACCATGGGGTTGGGAGGCGCACCTTGGGGTTGGTAGGCGCACCATGGGGTTGGGAGGCGCACCTTGGGGTTGGGAGGCGCACCTTGGGGTTGGAGGCGCACCATGGGGTTGGGAGGCGCACCATGGGGTTGGGAGGCGCACCTTGGGGTTGAGAGGCGCACCTTGGGGTTGGGAGGCGCACCTTGGGGTTGGGAGGCGCACCTTGGGGTTGGGAGGCGCACCATGGGGTTGGGAGGCGCACGATGGGGTTGGGAGGCGCACCTTGGGGTTGGTAGGCGCACCATGGGGTTGGGAGGCGCACCTTGGGGTTGGGAGGCGCACCTTGGGGTTGGGAGGCGCACCTTGGGGTTGAAAGGCGCACCTTGGGGTTGGGAGGCGCACCTTGGGGTTGAAAGGCGCACCTTGGGGTTGGGAGGCGCACTTTGGGGTTGAAAGGCGCACCTTGGGGTTGGTGACGATGACACCGAAAGCGCTGAAGGTGTCGTATAACACCTTCTCATCCACGTCCTGTGCATGTGCGGGCATGCATGAGTCGAGGGATGGATGGATGAAGGGAGAGAGGGAGTAGAGGATGGGGAGGTGTACCGAGCAGAGTAAGACATGAGTAAGACCCGGAGAAGAAGTGAAGATGGAAACGGAGAGAACTGTGAGCATGTACAGGGAATTCGTGACACGAGCAGGAGTGGTTGTGCTGCATGAGAAACATGGAAGGAAGGTAGCGAGGAGGTTGAAGGGTAAGTGGGAAACTGATGGGAGAGTCACGGGGTCACCCCAAGTCTCACAGAACCAATGCGAGTCTTACAGGATTAATACAAGTCACATGTGATTCCGAATTCAGTCTCACGGGGTCAAGGTTGCCGATGAAGAGGTTGGCACCGACGTCCACAGTGCGGCGGTCCTGGCTGGCCTTGTTCACCCGCATGGGGCGCCCAAACACCTTCACCATGTTCAGCACCTTCACTGCCTGCACAGGGGTTGACGGTCATGGGCGTGACAGCAGTAGATGTGCCCATGATAGGTGAGACAGTAAAGGAAACGGCAGCAGCATATACGGCAACTATGCTTGCATATGGTACTTTGATTGTCATGGGAGTATCTGCCTCAAGTGTGAGTCATGGTGGTGAGTGTGGGTATGAGTATGAGTGGGAAGTGTGCGTATGAATGGTGAGTAGTAAGTTGAGTAGAACTGTGTGTGTGAGTGGGAGAAGTAAGTTGAGTGTGAGTGAGTGGTGAGTGTGAGTGTGGGTGGCAAGTGTACCTGCATGAGTGAGTGTGATGTGTGTGTTAATGTGAGTGGAAAGTGTGAGTGAAAGTGGAGAGTGTGGGTGTGAGTGTGAGTGTCTAGGGTGAGTGTTAGTGGAGAATGTGAGTGGAGAGTGTCAGTGTGAGTGGTGATGATGAGGGTGAGCGTATGGGTGGTGACTTTGAGGGTGAGTGTGTGTGAAAGGTGAGGGAGAGGTGAGTATGAGTGAGCCGACAAGTCACCACTTTTCCCTTCACAAGTCTGCATCCAACGACTGACAAGCCAACATCCCTAACACAGCACACAAAATTCCCTCAGACACCACGCGTCTTCCCCCCACTCATGGATGCCCCCGCACGCACATAGTCAGCATCCTCTTCTGAGCGGAACTCCACAAAGCCGTAGCCCTGGTGCTGGCCTGTCACGCGATCCTTGGGCACGTACACGTTCACTGGGAAGAGCCGGGGAAGGAGGGTGGGGAAGGGGCGGAAAGGGGATTTGGAGAGGTGGGGAAATGCGGTGTTGCACGCATGAGGCATCTGGGAGGCGTGAGGAACGAGGAGAGAGGAACGAGGAGAGAGGAACGAGGAGAGAGGAACGAGGAGAGAGGAACGAGGAGTGAGGAACGAGGAGAGAGGAACGAGGAGAGAGGAACGAGGAGAGAGGAACGAGGAGAGAGGAACGAGGAGAGAGGAACGAGGAGAGAGGAACGAGGAGAGAGGAACGAGGAGAGGAACGAGGAGTGAGGAACGAGGAGAGAGGATCGAGGAGAGAGGAACGAGGAGAGAGGAACGAGGAGATAGGAACGAGGAGAGAGGAACGAGGAGAGAGGAACGAGGAGAGAGGAACGAGGAGAGAGGAACGAGGAGTGAGGAACGAGGAGAGAGGAACGAGGAGAGAGGAACGAGGAGAGAGGAACGAGGAGAGAGGAACGAGGAGAGAGGAACGAGGAGAGAGGAACGAGGAGAGAGGAACGAGGAGAGAGGAACGAGGAGTGAGGAACGAGGAGAGAGGAACGAGGAGTGAGGAACGAGGAGAGAGGAACGAGGAGAGAGGAACGAGGAGAGAGGAACGAGGAGAGAGGAACGAGGAGAGAGGAACGAGGAGAGAGGAACGAGGAGAGAGGAACGAGGAGAGAGGAACGAGGAGAGAGGAACGAGGAGAGAGGAACGAGGAGAGAGGAACGAGGAGAGAGAAACGAGGAGAGAGGAACGAGGAGAGAGGAACGAGGAGAGAGGAACGAGGAGAGAGGAACGAGGAGTGAGGAACGAGGAGAGAGGAACGAGGAGAGAGGAACGAGGAGTGAGGAACGAGGAGAGAGGAACGAGGAGTGAGGAACGAGGAGAGAGGAACGAGGAGAGAGGAACGAGGAGAGAGAAACGAGGAGAGAGGAACGAGGAGAGAGGAACGAGGAGAGAGGAACGAGGAGAGAGGAACGAGGAGTGAGGAACGAGGAGAGAGGAACGAGGAGTGAGGAACGAGGAGAGAGGAACGAGGAGAGAGGAACGAGGAGAGAGGAACGAGGAGAGAGGAACGAGGAGAGAGGAACGAGGAGAGAGGAACGAGGAGAGAGGAACGAGGAGAGAGGAACGAGGAGAGAGGAACGAGGAGAGAGGAACGAGGAGAGAGGAACGAGGAGAGAGGACGAGGAGTGAGGAACGAGGAGAGAGGAACGAGGAGAGAGGAACGAGGAGAGAGGACGAGAGGAGAGGAAAACGAGGAGAGAGGAACGAGGAGAGAGGAACGAGGAGAGAGGAAACGAGGAGAGAGGAACGAGGAGATAGGAACGAGGAGAGAGGAACGAGGAGTGAGGAACGAGGAGTGAGGAACGGGAGTGAGGAACGAGGAGAGAGGAACGAGGAGAGAGGATGAGGAGAGAGGAACGAGGAGAGAGGAACGAGGAGAGAGGAACGAGGAGAGAGGAACGAGGAGAGAGGAACGAGGAGAGAGGAACGAGGAGTGAGGAACGAGGAGAGAGGACGAGGAGTGAGGAACGAGGAGAGAGGAACGAGGAGAGAGGAAGCGGGGAGAGAGGAACGAGGAGTGAGGAACGAGGAGAGAGGAACGAGGAGAGAGGAACGAGGAGAGAGGAACGAGGAGAGAGGAACGAGGAGAAGAGAACGAGGAGAGAGGAACGAGGAGAGAGGAACGAGGAGAGAGGAACGAGGAGAGAGGAACGAGGAGAGAGGAACGAGGAAGAGGAACGAGGAGAGAGGAACGAGGAGAGAGGAACGAGGGAGCGGAACGAGGAAGAGGAACGAGGAGAGAGGAACGAGGAAGAGGAACGAGGAGTGAGGAACGAGGAGAGAGGAACGAGGAGAGAGGAACGAGGAGAGAGGAACGAGGAGAGAGGAACGAGGAGAGAGGAACGAGGAGAGAGGAACGAGGAGAGAGGAACGAGGAGAGAGGAACGAGGAGAGAGGAACGAGGAGAGAGGAACGAGGAGAGAGGAACGAGGAGAGAGGAACGAGGAGAGAGGAACGAGGAGTGAGGAACGGGGAGAGGAACGAGGAGTGAGGAACGAGGAGAGAGGAACGAGGAGAGAGGAACGAGGAGAGAGGAACGAGGAGAGAGGAACGAGGAGAGAGGAACGAGGAGAGAGGAACGAGGAGAGAGGAACGAGGAGAGAGGAACGAGGAGAGAGGAACGAGGAGAGAGGAACGAGGAGAGAGGAACGAGGAGAGAGGAACGAGAGTGAGGAACGAGGAGAGAGGAACGAGGAGAGAGGAACGAGGAGAGAGGAACGAGAGAGAGGAACGAGAGAGAGGAACGAGGAGAGAGGAACGAGGAGTGAGGAACGAGGAGAGAGGACGAGGAAGAGGAACGAGGAGAGAGGAACGAGGAGAGAGGAACGAGGAGAGAGGAACGAGGAGAGAGGAACGAGGAGAGAGGAACGAGGAGAGAGGAACGAGGAGAGAGGAACGAGGAGAGAGGAACGAGGAGAGAGGAACGAGGAGAGAGAACGAGGAGAGAGGAACGAGGAGAGAGGAACGAGGAGTGAGGAACGAGGGAGAGGAACGGGGAGTGAGGAACGAGGAGAGAGGAACGAGAGAGAGAGAACGAGGAGAGAGGAACGAGGAGAGAGGAACGAGGAGAGAGGAACGAGGAGAGAGGAACGAGGAGAGAGGAACGAGGAGTGGGGAACGAGGAGAGAGGAACGAGGAGTGAGGAACGAGGAGAGAGGAACGAGGAGAGAGGAACGAGGAGAGAGGAACGAGGAGAGAGGAACGAGGAGAGAGGAACGAGGAGAGAGGAACGAGGAGAGAGAACGAGGAGAGAGGAACGAGGAGAGAGAACGAGGATAGAGGAACGAGGAGAGAGGAACGAGGAGAGAGGAACGAGGAGTGAGGAACGAGGAGAGAGGAACGAGGAGAGAGGAACGAGGAGAGAGGAACGAGGAGAGAGGAACGAGGAGAGAGGAACGAGAGAGAGGAACGAGGAGTGAGGAACGAGGAGAGAGGAACGAGAGAGGAAACGAGGAGGAGGAACGAGGAGAGAGGAGAGGAGAGAGAACGAGGAGTGAGGAACGAGGAGAGAGGAACGAGGAGAGAGGAACGAGGAGAGAGGAACGAGAGAGAGGAACGAGAGAGAGGAACGAGGAGAGAGGAACGAGGAGAGAGGAACGAGAGAAGAGGAACGAGGAGAGAGGAACGAGGAGTGAGAACGAGGAGAGAGGAACGAGGAGTGAGGAACGAGGAGAGAGGAACGAGGAGAGAGGAACGAGGAGAGAGGAACGAGGAGAGAGGAACGAGGAGAGAGGAACGAGGAGAGAGGAACGAGAGAGAGGAACGAGAGAGGAACGAGGAGAGAGGACGAGGAGAGAGGAACGAGGAGAGAGGAACGAGGAGAGAGGAACGAGGAGTGAGGAACGAGGAGAGAGGAACGAGGAGTGAGGAACGAGGAGAGAGGAACGAGGAGAGAGGAACAGAGAGAGGAACGAGGAGTGAGGAACGAGGAGTGAGGAACGAGGAGAGAGGAACGAGGAAGAGAACGAGGAGAGAGGAACGAGGAGAGAGGAACGAGGAGAGAGGAACGAGGAGTGAGGAACGAGAGAGAGGAACGAGGAGAGAGGAACGAGGAGAGAGGAACGAGGAGAGAGGAACGAGGAGAGAGGAACGAGGAGAGAGGAACGAGGAGAGAGGAACGAGGAGAGAGAACGAGGAGAGAGGACGGAGAGAGGAACGAGGAGTGAGGAACGAGGAGAGAGGAACGAGGAGTGAGGAACGAGGAGAGAGAACGAGGAGAGGAACGAGGAGAGAGGAACGAGGAGAGGAACGAGGAGAGAGGAACAGGAGAGAGGAACGAGGAGAGAGGAACGAGTAGAGGAACGAGGAGAGAGGAACGAGGAGAGAGGAACGAGGAGTGAGGAACGAGGAGAGAGGAACGAGGAGTGAGGAACGAGGAGAGAGGAACGAGGAGAGGAACGAGGAGAGAGGAACGAGGAGTGAGGAACGAGGAGAGAGGAACGAGGAGTGAGGAACGAGGAGAGAGGAACGAGGAGGCGAGAGGAATGAGGAGAGAGGAAGCGGGGAGAGAGGAACGAGGAGAGAGGAACGAGGAGAGAGGAACGAGGAGAGAGGAACGAGGAGAGAGGAACGAGGAGAGAGGAACGAGGAGAGAGGAACGAGGAGAGAGGAACGAGGAGTGAGGAACGAGGAGAGAGGAACGAGGAGAGAGGAACGAGGAGAGAGGAACGAGGAGAGAGGAACGAGGAGAGAGGAACGAGGAGAGAGGAACGAGGAGAGAGGAACGAGGAGTGAGGAACGAGGAGAGAGGAACGAGGAAGAGGAACGAGGAGAGAGAAACGAGGAGAGAGGAACGAGGAGAGAGGAACGAGGAGAGAGGAACGAGGAGAGAGGAACGAGGAGAGGGAACGAGGAGAGAGGAACGAGAGTGAGGAACGAGGAGAGAGGAACGGGGAGTGAGGAACGAGGAGAGAGGAACGAGGAGAGAGGAACGAGGAGAGAGGAACGAGGAGAGAGGAACGAGGAGAGAGGAACGAGGAGAGAGGAACGAGGAGAGAGGAACGAGGAGTGAGGAACGAGAGAAGAGGAACGAGGAGTGAGGAACGAGGAGAGAGAGGAACGAGGAGAGAGGAACGAGGAGAGAGGAACGAGGAGAGAGGAACGAGGAGAGAGGAACGAGGAGAGAGGAACGAGGAGAGAGGAACGAGGAGAGAGGAACGAGGAGAGAGGAACGAGGAGAGAGGAACGAGGAGAGAGGAACGAGGAGTGAGGAACGAGGAGAGAGGAACGAGGAGAGGAACGAGGAGAGAGGAACGAGGAGAGAGGAACGAGGAGAGAGGAACGAGGAGAGGGAACGAGGAGAGAGGAACGAGGAGAGAGGAACGAGGAAGAGGAACGAGGAGAGAGGAACGAGGAGAGAGGAACGAGGAGAGAGGCGAGGAGTGAGGAACGAGGAGAGAGGAACGAGGAGAGAGGAACGAGGAGTTGAGGAACGAGGAGAGAAGGAACGAGGAGAGAGGAACGAGGAGTGAGGAACGAGGAGAAGGAACGAGAGAGAGGAACGAGGAGAGAGGAAACGAGGAGAGGGAACGAGGAGAGAGGAACGAGGAGAGAGGAACGAGGAGAGAGGAACGAGGAGAGAGGAACGAGGAGAGAGGAACGAGGAGTGAGGAACGAGGAGAGAGGAACGAGGAGAGAGAACGAGGAGAGAGGACGAGGAGGAGGAACGAGGAGAGAGGAACGAGAAGAGAGGAACGAGGAGAGAGAACGAGGAGAGAGGAGAGAGGAACGAGGAAAGAGGAACGAGGAGAGAGGAACGAGGAGAGAGGAACGAGGAGAGAGGAACGAGGAGAGAGGAACGAGGAGAGAGGAACGAGGAGATGAGGAACGAGGAGAGAGGAACGAGGAGTGAGGAACGAGGAGAGAGGAACGAGGAGAGAGGAACGAGGAGAGAGGAAGCGGGGAGAGAGGAACGAGGAGAGAGAACGAGGAGAGAGGAACGAGGAGAGAGGAACGAGGAGAGAGGAACGAGGAGAGAGGAACGAGGAGAGAGGAACGAGGAGAGAGGAACGAGGAGAGAGGAACGAGGAGTGAGGAACGAGGAGAGAGGAACGAGGAGAGAGGAACGAGGAGAGAGGAACGAGGAGAGAGGAACGAGGAGAGAGGAACGAGGAGAGAGGAACGAGGAGAGAGGAACGAGGAGTGAGGAACGAGGAGAGAGGAACGAGGAAGAGGAACGAGGAGAGAGGAACGAGGAGAGAGGAACGAGGAGAGAGGAACGAGGAGAGAGGAACGAGGAGAGAGGAACGAGGAGAGAGGAACGAGGAGAGAGGAACGAGGAGAGAGGAACAAGGAGTGAGGAACGAGGAGAGAGGAACGGGGAGTGAGGAACGAGGAGAGAGGAACGAGGAGAGAGGAACGAGGAGAGAGAACGAGGAGAGAGGAACGAGGAGAGAGGAACGAGGAGAGAGGAACGAGGAGAGAGGAACGAGGAGTGAGGAACGAGGAGAGAGGAACGAGGAGTGAGGAACGAGGAGAGAGGAACGAGGAGAGAGGAACGAGGAGAGAGGAACGAGGAGAGAGGAACGAGGAGAGAGGAACGAGGAGAGAGGAACGAGGAGAGAGGAACGAGGAGAGAGGAACGAGGAGAGAGGAACGAGGAGAGAGGAACGAGGAGAGAGGAACGAGGAGAGAGGAACGAGGAGTGAGGAACGAGGAGAGAGGAACGAGGAGAGAGGAACGAGGAGAGAGGAACGAGGAGAGAGGAACGAGGAGAGAGGAACGAGGAGAGAGGAACGAGGAGTGAGGAACGAGGAGAGAGGAACGAGGAAGAGGAACGAGGAGAGAGGAACGAGGAGAGAGGAACGAGGAGAGAGGAACGAGGAGAGAGGAACGAGGAGAGAGGAACGAGGAGAGAGGAACGAGGAGAGAGGAACGAGGAGAGAGGAACGAGGAGAGAGGAACGAGGAGAGAGGAACGAGGAGAGAGGAACGAGGAGAGAGGAACGAGGAGAGAGGAACGAGGAGTGAGGAACGAGGAGAGAGGAACGAGGGAGTGAGGAACGAGGAGAGAGGAACGAGGAGAGAGGAACGAGGAGAGAGGAACGAGGAGAGAGGAACGAGGAGAGAGGAACGAGGAGAGAGGAACGAGGAGAGAGGAACGAGGAGAGAGGAACGAGGAGAGAGGAACGAGGAGAGAGGAACGAGGAGAGAGGAACGAGGAGAGAGGAACGAGGAGTGAGGAACGAGGAGAGAGGAACGAGGAGTGAGGAACGAGGAGAGAGGAACGAGGAGAGAGGAACGAGGAGAGAGGAACGAGGAGTGAGGAACGAGGAGTGAGGAACGAGGAGAGAGGAACGAGGAGAGGAACGAGGAGAGAGGAACGAGGAGAGAGGAACGAGGAGAGAGGAACGAGGAGTGAGGAACGAGGAGAGAGGAACGAGGAGAGAGGAACGAGGAGAGAGGAACGAGGAGAGAGGAACGAGGAGAGAGGAACGAGGAGAGAGGAACGAGGAGAGAGGAACGAGGAGAGAGGAACGAGGAGAGAGGAACGAGGAGGAGGAACGAGGAGAGAGGAACGAGGAGTGAGGAACGAGGAGAGGGAACGAGGAGAGAGGAACGAGGAGAGAGGAACGAGGAGAGAGGAACGAGGAGAGAGGAACGAGGAGAGAGGAACGAGGAGAGAGGAACGAGGAGAGAGGAACGAGGAGAGAGGAACGAGGAGAGAGGAACGAGGAGAGAGGAACGAGGAGAGAGGAACGAGGAGAGAGGAACGAGGAGAGAGGAACGAGGAGTGAGGAACGAGGAGAGAGGAACGAGGAGAGAGGAACGAGGAGAGAGGAACGAGGAGTGAGGAACGAGGAGAGAGGAACGAGGAGTGAGGAACGAGGAGAGAGGAACGAGGAGAGAGGAACGAGGAGAGAGGAAGCGGGGAGAGAGGAACGAGGAGAGAGGAACGAGGAGAGAGGAACGAGGAGAGAGGAACGAGGAGTGAGGAACGAGGAGAGAGGAACGAGGAGTGAGGAACGAGGAGAGAGGAACGAGGAGAGAGGAACGAGGAGAGAGGAACGAGGAGAGAGGAACGAGGAGAGAGGAACGAGGAGAGAGGAACGAGGAGAGAGGAACGAGGAGAGAGGAACGAGGAGAGGAACGAGGAGAGAGGAACGAGGAGTGAGGAACGAGGAGAGAGGAACGAGGAGAGAGGAACGAGGAGAGAGGAACGAGGAGAGAGGAACGAGGAGAGAGGAACGAGGAGAGAGGAACGAGGAGAGAGGAACGAGGAGAGAGAATCGGGGAAGGCGATGGAGTGGGAAGCAGGTTGAAGAGGAAGGGTGCGGTGCGGGGAGACATGGAGAACAATGAGGAGCAGAGAGAGGCAAGAAAGGAAAGGGGGGCAGGAGATGCACAAGGTATGTGTGCCACCACATGAGGTGAAATATAACCATCAAACTTTCCAGCCCCTTTCTAACTGTTTATTGACCCCTCCATACTCCTCCCAACAAGCCCCAGCCCGTCCCCAACCCCCTCCAACTCCTTGGCTCACCGACAGGCCCCGCCTGCACGAAGAGCTCCCAGATGAGCTCCTCCGACATCTGTGCTCGTGAGGCGTGACGTGCAGGGGGAACATAAGGGGGAAGGGGCAGGGGATGAAAAGAGGGGGGGCATGGGGGAAGGGGCACAGTGTAAATAGAGGGGGAGCATGGGGGGGGAAGGGCACAGCGGAGAAAGAGGGGGGGCATGGGGAGGGCCACAGGGCACAGGGACGAATGAGGGGGAGCGTTGGGGGGAAAAGGGCACAGGAGAAGAGGGGGAGCATGGGGGATCAGGGACACAGTGGGTCGCATCGAGCACAGGGGGAAAAGGGGTGGGGCATGGGGGGCAATTGGCAGAGATGGGAAAGACGGAGGACGTGGGGGGAGATAAATGGGGGGAACGGTGGAGCGTGAGGGGGAGTAGCGGGGTCAAGGGCACAGGATGGGGGACAAGGGGCACAGGGGTGCGGGAGGGAAGGTAAAGGGGTAAGTCAAGAATGAGCAGAGAAAGGGTTGCAGGGAGGTTTGCCGTAAACAAAGGCGGGACGAGGGCCCATGCATGACATGCGAACGAGAAATCACAATCACGCGGATGCAACCGAATGCTGTTAACGCACTGACAGCAGTAAGGGCGCTGCGAGGCACAGGAGCGCAACGCACCTGCGGGTCGAGGTTGCCGACATAGGCGGTGGCGTCTTGGTTGCGCTCCTGCGCGTGCTGCCCGATGAGGTTCGCGCCCACCCCCGGCGTGATCCGCGTCGTCATCGCGTACTGCTGTCGTTTACCTACACGCCCACAAAATCACTCGATCTGCTACCCCCAAAAAAATCCAGGTTACAAATCGACCGTTGATCGACCAATCATTCGGGCCTATCTAGTCGTTTCCCGCAAACATTGGGCTACCGCCTCGCGTTGAGCTTAAGATCAGCGTCGGAGCGAGTGGATCGAGGCCAAGGTAACGTAAGGGGCACGTTAAAAAAAGCGGGAGAAGAAACAAGAAAAATGTTTCCAGATGGGGTGAAGGGGATGATGAAGCACGGACAAATGTCCTGGAAAATTGGAACAAAACGAAAACGTCAATCAAAATTCCCGCTAAAGCAAAACAACCGCTCCCGGGTGGGCTTGAACCACCGACCTTATGGTTAACAGCCATACGCTCTAACCAACTGAGCTACGAGAGCTGTCACCATATCCAAAATTCAAATATTTTTTTTTTTTTTTAAAACTCAAGCAACTTCACTTGCCACGATTGAACTGTGTTGCACATTTTCACCATGGCTACCGCAATGCTAACCTCAGCGGCTGTTGCGCTCCCCCTGCGCTCAACGGCTGCCATCCCCGCGGCCCTCTCCTCCGCACGCACCCGCGCAAGTTCCGCGCTCTTTGCGCGAATCACTTCTTCGCGTGCTCTTCCCCGCGTGCAACGCACGCTTGTTCGCGCGAAGGCGAGTGATGAGGGGAGCAGCACGGCTGAGATCGTGGGGGCTGTCAGCGGCCTGATTTCCGTTCCCGTGGTTGCCTGGTCGCTCTTTACCCTCAAGACCACCGGTGAGCGCCACCATTCCCGCCACTGCCGCCGTCACTACGCTGACATTGCCTCCATTACCACCATCCCGTTGACATGCGCGATAACGATACCCATCTTCGCCTCCCATGCGACTCCACAGGCCTGCTGCCTTCATTAATCTTCCCTCGCCTACTCCACACCTCTTCGCAAAGTCACTGACCCCCTCCACTCGCGCTTTTACCAAAACCCTTCCTTCTCCCTGCAGGCTGCGGGCTGCCCCCGGGGCCAGGCGGCAGTTTGGGCGCGCTGGAGGGCGTGGCTTACCTCGCGATTGTGGGGCTCGTTGGCTGGTCCGCGTACACCAAGGTCTCCACTGGCAAGGGGCTGCCCAACGGACCCTACGGGCTGCTGGGGGCGGCCGAGGGCCTGGCGTACCTGACGCTGCTGGCAGCTGTGGTGGTGTTCGGGCTGCAGCTGTTGGACTACGGCTACATCCCGCCCCCTGTGCCCGGTGAACAGTGCTTTGGTTAGGAGCTACCCGAAGCTGGCAGGGATAAGAAGATGATATGGCGTTGGGAGATGGTGCTGCTGCCTTGTCAACTGGTGGCTTGCAGTGCTGGCCCAAACTGGTGCTCCTACAAGTAGTTGAACGCAGAATCTGAGTGTTGAAAGTCTATTCATGTCTCTATGTCTTAAAGCTTGATGCCTTCAGTGCATCTGGTTGGGGTGCTGCTTCATTTTTGGACTGGCTGCTGACATTACCGTAGAATGCCTATGAGTTTGACTTGGAGAAACGGAGGGAGTGAGTGAAGGTGCTAAGGAACCTGCATCCAACAAAGCCTGCTCGTCATGTCACAATATGAACAGCGAATTGAATTGAATAACCTTTGGATTACCAATCATTGCACAATCACCAGCTTGACCACAAAGGAGAGTGGTCACTGGTGTCCTGCCACAATCTGTGCATCCTAATCATCTACGATACTCCTCATCCCTTTTCCACTGCCTTCTGTCTTCATCACTCCTGCGCTTTGGCCTTTCGGCCTCATCCTCCTCCCTTGGACGCTTGTGCTTGTCATCACTGCCCTTGAACCTTTCTCGTTTTTCTTCCTCCAACTCCCCTCTTGCACCTCTCCTCTCTTCCATATCATCCTTACCCCTCTCTTCCCGCTTCCCATGCCTCACGCCACCTTCCCTGTTTCTGACCTTCCTCCACTCATCCTTACCCCTGCCGTCATCCTCCTCACCTCTCAGCCTGTCATCTCCCCCGTTGTTTGTTTCATTCCTGAACCCCTCGAGGCGCTCGATCGTACTTTTCCTTGATGCATGCCCATCCTTTCTCTCACCTTCTCCCTTCCCAGCCTGTCGCGCCTTGAGCCTTCCCTCCTCGCGCCTATCACCTTCTCTCGATCTGACACCTTCCTCTCCGCCCTTCACCGCCTCATCTTCTCCTCTCCGTCCGATCACATCCTCTTTCGCCCATCTCTGGGTCCTATCACCATCACCCTCCCCATTTCTCTCCCTACCCTCCTCCCCTCTTGCAACGCCTGGCCTCCCACCACCGCCTCTCCCACCATTCACTCGCTCTTCGCGCTGCTCAAAATTAGCCCTGCTACGGCTCTCTGTTCCCCGTTCCATGCCCTCCTTCCCGCCCCATCCCGTGTCAGCGTTTCTCTGGTGGTAGGGAATACAGAAAGGGGGAACAATAAAGTTGGTTTACATCGAGGATTGAATCAGGCCGTGGTTTGAAAGTACCGAGTGAGAGTCTTCCTGGTGTTCAGATGAACTCTACCTGGGCATCATGAGAGAATCGGCAATTGTCTCCTCGTGAGCACTCCCCTCTCTGGAACGCATAGCAGACTCCGTTCTCTTCCCTGCGCTTCTCCCGCTCCTCCTCATCCTCCTTGGCTATCCTCTTGTAGTCCGCCACGTGGTCCACCCTTACTATCCGCCCGGCAACCTTAGCGCCGTTCAGGTTGTCTGCACAGTGGAGGAGGGAGGAACCCGGGAGGAAGGGTGGAAGCGGATGGTTGGGACGGCGAAGGGAAGCATACTGGTTTGGCAGGAACGAAATCGAAGTCCAGTAGAAACTGGCAACGGGCAACTACGGCTGAATTTCTGATGTTGTGAGAGTTGTTTATGAATCTGATCCGAGCTGGTCACATTAGGCATCAACAGGATACACCAGGGTCATCCTACGAACGAGCGCACCTACAGCGAGGATGGTGCTGCGCTGGTCCTCGTACGCCAGAAACGCGAAGCCCTTGGACTTGCCAGTGGACTTGTCCCGCACCAGATTCACATCCATTATTTCACCGTACCTAGCCAGTTGCGATGGGATGGGTAAGGAGAAAGAGGAAAGAACGAGAAGGAGAACGGACTGTGAAAGTGAGAAAGAAGCAGCTAGTCTAAGAAGCCTGACATCTATAAAAAAATGGACCAGCAAAACTTTCTTACACTGCACTACAGCGGACCGTGCACGCGAAACCATGAAGCCGGTGTGGAAAAAGGGGAAACTGTGGTTGAGTCTTACTGGGCAAAGACCGCAAGGAGGTCCCCCTCAGTGAGGTCGTACGGAAGACCGCCGACGAAAACATACGCGGACTCTTTGTACTTGGCGTGCCATGATGCTTCGTCCGATACCCCTCTAGCAGTCTCTCGCGCTGTTATTTTCTGCGTGTTCTTGATCTGCGTTAGGGGATTCATGATGGCTAATGGTCAGACTGAAGCAAGACTTTGCCGTAAGCGCGTGAACCTCGCGTCGTCTCTAGATGATCAAAGAGTAACAGGGACACCAACGCCGTGGGCCCTGTTAAGACTAAGAATGGTCAGGGTAACTTATAAGGCTTAGACTAAGGGCTTTTGCCCAAGCTCATGAATTGCAGGGAGAGATAAATGGTTTGCCTCCTCGATTCCAGTTTGATTTGCAGTGTCAGGACTATCATGAAGCCTGGTTACAAGTTTCCGTCACGATGTCCAGGTCATGCAAGCAGAACATAGACACGGGAAAAAACACTCTCACGAAAATCAACGAAGCTTTCAGAGTTAGGGAAAATATGCCACAAGTAACAATCATGTGACCCCGTAACGTCAATGGTAAAAAAAAAATGCGTACGGTAACTGTATCGGGTATCGTGACGGGCTTGGTAAGTGGGGTCACGGAATCAGTCACTAGCAACAGCTAAAGAATCACGCGAATGGTAACACATGAAACTCCCGCGAATGGTAACACATGAAACAGCTAAACCGAGGCGTGCAGTTCACCCCTTTGATAGTGGAGACGTGGGGGTGTCTCGGCGGTCGCTTCCGGCGGTGGCTTCGACAGCAGGGGGACGCGCACGTGGGGCTAGCTGTGTCACGGGGGGCTTGTCGGGAGGATGACACTTCGTTCTCGGCTTACCTTTTGGGGTCTCTGAAGGCGCTCATCGGAGTGGCGTTACAACGGGCGCAAGCTCGTGTCATCCTGCTTCGGGCGGCGTCTTCCATGGGGGGGTTGAATGTGGACTTGGTGGATCGGGAGAGGGACGATGTCGAGGTGGAGGGCGGGCCTCTTTGGGTGGAGGCCCCCTACATGGTGGATGTGCAGATGTGACTTGGGGGGGAGGGGGGGGGGGGGGGGGGGGGGGGGGGGGGGGAGGGGGAATGGGTGCGAGATGGGACGTCTGGTAGGGGATCCTGGTTGGGTTTTTTCTTTATAGAGTATTTTTATGGGGCTTTTTATGGGTGTTGCGTTTGAGTTGTTTCTGGTGTCTTTCTTTCCCGTTCCTCTCCTCTTGTGCGATGCTTTTCTTTGTAAAAACTCCCGCGAATGGTAATAAAAGATGCACAGTGCATGGATAGTGATAGCCCATGAGAATACAGTGATTCCAATATTTCGTCAGTATAATACCAGGCTGTCTTGAGATTAGGACACTTTAGACAGCCAGGTCTTGTTTGTCAGCTGTCTATTCACGCCGGCAGACGAGCATGGCCATTCGAGCATGGCCATTCGAGCATTTCCATGAGCTGTTTGGAATTGCCGAGGTTGCTTGTGAGGTTCGCAGCAGCTGATGAATCAAGGAGCGATGCAAGGAACCCTGCTTCAGCAATTCCTGAGCAGGAGTAGGGAGTCTCAGACGGTCTTGGAGACCCAGTGACTGCGCTCGTTAGATTCTGCCCTCCGTCACTCAGCAAGCCAAATCGCACAGAGATCAGGACATCGCGAGCCGGCTCTAGTGTGCTTGCAAAACTCTATTATCTAGTGCTGTTGCGTTTTCCGTTACCTTCTTATCAAACAAATCACGTCATGGCGTTCATTAGCCCTTTGTTGCGGAGAATAATACTGAGCTACTTCTACGTGGCGATATGGATCGTTTTAAGCTTCTCCGTTATTATTTTCAATAAGTACATCCTGGACAGGAAGATGTACAACTGGCCATATCCCATCAGGTGAGCTTCTGGAAGCTGTCTTGTGATCCACGTCAAATTCTAACAGAACGTTCAGATTTCCAGGTTTCGCGCGTCTACCTCCTCCTCGACTCACCTTCCCCGTGTAAGCGGTGTTAAACTCCCCTTCGTTCCCCCCCCCGCGCTCCCGCCCTCCCTTACCCGCCTCCCCCTCTCCCCGTCCAGTCTGACGATGATCCACATGGCGTTCTGCTCGTCGCTGGCCTTCGTGCTTGTGCGCGTGGTGCGCGTGGTGGAGCCGGTGGCCATGAGCCTCGAGATGTACGTCTCCTCCGTGCTGCCCATCGGCGCGCTCTACGCCATGAGCCTCTGGTTCTCCAACTCCGCCTACATCTACCTCTCCGTCTCCTTCATTCAGGCGCGCTCTCTCTCCTTACTCCTGGTTGAACTGTGCTGTGCTTGTCGCTTTCCTCTGCTGTTATGACGTTGCCCTTGTAATGCGTGTCTAATCACGTCCGTCCTATCTCTTAGCACAGCCCCTCTGCTTGCTCTCCTATCAACAACAACTGGGGTCTTTGCCTGCTACACGTATACTGCCTTATTCTTGTCGTCATGCCCTTCCTCTACGTCCATGTCCCTCCATGTCTCTCCATGCCCCTCCTGCTCTCCCCATCCCAACCCTGTTCGCCCGTGCCCCACCACCAGATGCTGAAGGCGCTGATGCCAGTGGCGGTGTACACGCTGGGAGTGGCGTTTCAGAAGGACGTGTTCCGCTGCTCCACCATGAGCAACATGCTGCTCGTGTCCGTGGGCGTGGGCATAGCCGCGTACGGCGAGGCCAACTTCAACTTCACAGGCGTCCTCCTGCAGCTCGCCGCCGTCGCCTTTGAAGCCACTCGCCTCGTGCTCATCCAGGTACGCCTCTGCTCCCCCGCATGCTCGACTGTGACCGTGTGGATCTCTACCTTGTGGTTAGTAGTTACCACATTACCCATTCACGGATTTCTCTCATCCTGTGCCTTGCCCTAATAGTCAATGCCCAGGAAAGCAGCTGATAGCCTGGTCCGCTGAAGCGCCTCTGTCACCCCAGTGCATCACGCCCCGCGGAAGTCTTTGCATATTGGATCTCATATTTCCCCATTCGTCCCACGCCGCCCCTGCAGATCCTGCTGGCATCCAAGGGCATCTCGCTGAACCCCATCACGAGCCTGTACTACGTGTCCCCCACGTGCCTCATCTTCCTCACCGTCCCCTGGTTCTTCGTTGAGTACCCCTCCCTCGCCCCGCACCTCATCGCCCCTCGCCCCGACCTGCTGGTGTTTGGGGGCAACTGTGTGTGCGCCTTCGCCCTCAACCTCGCTGTCTTCCTGCTCATCGGCAAGACGTCAGCACTCACCATGAACGTGGCAGGTCTGTAGACGTGTCGCCGCTCATTGTATGTGACAAATAGTTCTGTGGGTTTTCGATGCTATCTATGCGGGTTTTGTAACCCAACTGATTGATTGTTGGCCTTTCGGTATGCTGCATTCTTGCCCTGCAGGAGTGGTGAAAGACTGGCTACTTATTGCCTTCTCCTGGTCAGTCATCAAGGATAGGGTAACCGCTATCAACTTGTTCGGGTATCTTCTGGCGTTTGGTGGAGTGTGCTGGTATAACCACTCCAAATTGCAAGTAAGTTGGTTGATGCATGAATCTAAGAGGCATTTAAGGTTTTTGTGTTTTGAGGCTAAGCTGTGCGGCATCTTTTGTATGGCGTGTTGGGCAATGAGCAGGAAATGAAGTCCAAGGATGCTGCAAGGAAGGCCGCACAATTGGATGAAGAGGAGGGGCTCATTAAAGATGTTCCCTCCTCAGACTCGGTAGTGCAAAAGAGACAGTCTCAAAGCTCCTAGTGTATCCATAGCTTAGGTTGGTACGGTGCTACTAACCAGCTTAGCTGCAAGCTAAGTCCTTGCACATAGTAGAGAGATTGTATTCATTCGCCTATTAAAGGTACATGCGGCTTCTGCGTTCAAACTAGGCTACTACACTCTGACGCGCGTTAAAGGAAAGTTAAGCAAGGTGCTGAGCGCCACGTGGTTCGATGCCAGCCATGTTTCCCGCGCTCCTTGTTGACGAGGCAGCCTGTGACGATGACCGACATGCCCGAGGCTTTGTGCACCACTGCGTCACCCACCTGCCCGAACAGAACTCCAGTTACGTGTAGCTTGGTCCCGCAAGTATCCGAACCGAAACACTTGAAGCGCTTGAAGAGCAATCGCTTGCTAGGCAATTCCGTCCCTTATCGTTCTCTGTTTCGCAACGTAGGTCGGCGTGCCAAGCTCCTCCCAGCGTCACGTCACGCCGGTTTCAGTCTGTCACAATCGCCTTGCGTTGGCGCGAGTGGGAGGTTCTGCCGTTCTCTGTCAACCCTGCGCGTCGAACTCTCCCGAAGCCTGCCGTTCATGTCGACTCTCCGAGTCGCTTCCACGGGATTGCGGATTTCACGTTCGATTCTCGTCGAGCATGCGCCAATTCAGGTGCGCGATACGCGATGAAGGAAGCCCAAACGCCTTAGTCAGAGCAGGAATGGACTATCAAAAATCAACCCTGGTCTTCACCTACCCCTATTGCCTCGCACAATCTCTCGAATTCAGATGTTTACCACTCATGCGGCGTCGACTGTCTCTCTTGTTGCCCTACCCCGTCCAGACACTCTCGTGCTTAAGACCGCGGGCAGTGGCGTTGCTACCTCGTCGACCGAAAGCCTTCGTTTCCCGGCCGTCGTTCCCCGCGTCGTATCGCAGCGGCTTACAGCGGGTGTGCGCGGAGTCGAGGGGAAGCAGCAGCCACGAGTGTGCGGAGGAGGGGCGAGCAGAGGCGCGGCGAGCGGAGGCGGAGGGAGGTGCCGCAGAGGAGACAGCGGAGACCGGTGTCGCCGAGTCGCGCGGCGTTGAATCAGGTGAGAAGGCTCGCTGCCGCTAATCGGTGCTGCGTGCAACGCATGTATGTTGTCGAGCCAAGGGGGGGCAACAGGAGGAGTGTTTTGTGGTAACTCGAGCAGCAGTTGTTGAACTCATATATGAGCTAAACTGTGGTGTGCGCACCACCGCCGTGCCGCTGACGTCGTTCCTCACTAGGATGAGAGTATTTAAGTTGCAGCCAAACAGAATCACTTCGTAGCTTCCCACCAACGAAGCCTAAGCAACCAGAAGCCTGTTCACGCTTATCTTTTCCTCCTCAATCCGCACAAACTTCTGATTTAACCTTCTCAATCCGGCCTTTTCCACCATCCCTGACCACCTTCACTCCCCAACTCCCCGTCAACCGCACCCGTGCAG